TGAATCTTGATGTTATAAATCCTATTCGTACAATGTTCTAGAGACTGAAGGAAGCCTACCTATCTAGCCCAAACTTAGACCAAAGGAAGAGTATCATAAGCTACTGCCGCTACTCACCCCATGGATGAGACCCCCGTCTAATCTAAGCCATCGCCTTGACAAGGGTCTTCTCTAGTGTAAGAGGTATGTACATAAGAAAAAGGGAGGGGGGAATTATGAACTCTAAGTGGCAAACGATGGCAGAATAGCGTCAAAAAAGTGCCGATTTTGCAAGTACTAACGTACCAGAAGGCTCGCTTTCTTATCCACATAACTCAGCATAACACTCGAGAATATATTTACAACTCATATCCGAATAAAATCTAAAGCCTATTCCATATTAATATAATTTTTTATATTTTCTCTGCATAATATATCTGGGGGGAACCTTTTAGAAAAGTATTCCCTTTGTTAGGCACTTATTTTGACGCCATTCTGCGATGGGGTATTTTCCGTGACGGTATTCCGTTTTTCCCGCGGGATTTAATGGGGTACGCCCCAGTCTCGCAGCCACAGGCAAGGTTAAAGCTTCAGTAGCTTTTCTACGACCCTCTCCGTGCACGTATGAGCGCAATAGAAAGAAATTACTCATCCGGTGTCTATTTTGCAAGTAAAGTATGGTTTTCAAGACATATAACTAGGGAGTTATTGGGGGGTAGTTCATCATGAACTCAGACGAATCATATTCTTGGCATAGCAAAGTAGGTCCTTAGAGGCCTGGGTAGTGATGCCAAGGTGACATACTAGAAAGTTGGCGTTAAAAACTACCTAACCTATACCGCCAGAAGCTGTGATATAGGCCAGCAACTATACATACATTCACGCAACGTCAGCACGGCTTATGACTTCCCAAATACCGCTAGTCAGAATCTCTCGATATTCACGATGTGCGTCATTCGGATTGGTCACCAACCGTTCGGTACTGCTGACAATCGGCACCATATCGATCCATTGGCCAGCCCTATGACCTGTTGCAAGGCGGGCATGGGTTATAGTATCAGACCCAGATCAAGTGAGGAGGATCTGGCTGTTGGTGCTGCTCGTTAGGGCTTAGAGCTTGGTGCTGCCCAATTTGATTATGGATGGATTTTATAATTATAGGCCCCCAAATTCCTGTTCATGCACACCACTAAGGCCCAAGACGAAGCGAAAGGGTGTATCGGGAAGCGTCTACGGAAGGGAACAAGTCAAGGAAAGCCAGAAACAAGAACCCCATCTCCAGTCGCTCGGGCCCATAGCGAGACGGAAACTTGCGCGTACTTCTCGAGGTCTCGACTGCGACTACGACTACGAGGTAGATGGGCGGATGCTAGGCGGATAGGCTATGTAGAATACGTATTCTGGCGGGAAAGGTAAAATGATGCCACATTAGCCACCAACGCGTCTTCCCTCTTTGAGTTGAAGTTTGATTAGGATTTTTGCATCTCTATCTGCAAGTGTCCGGCGGAGAACCGAAAATTACCGATGATTCGCTGGTGGAGAATGGCCAATCATATAATATGAATGGGATACCCATGCCATCCGCTGAGGACTGAATAAGTACTCCGAGGAAGATGCAAATTCAGCCTTGGCCTTGACCTGTCTACCGACCTCATACATAGCACCGCCGCACCGTCGCAGCGGCCCCCTATGCTAAGAGAACAGCGCTTACGTATTCAGTTGTCACCAGTTCAGACCGCAGTTTTTATTAGTACATATGTGCATTCCGTAACCGATCAGCGACGGCCGGTTCCATAGCTAGGGCAGGTAGTGCGTGCATCATGCGATTTAAATGCCGGTCCAAGGTGTTAGCTAAGGGGGTATATACAATACATAATATAGGATATTGGCTGATCTATATTCCAGTAATAATCGAATCCTAAACACGAGAAGCTTCCGTAGTACAATAGAAGTCTCACATAAACATAGGTAAACATGTACATGATCTCGGTAGCCGTCTAATACGTCACCGAAGTAGTAATCTCGGGGGCCGTATTATTCTTCTCATCTTATATCTGCCACTGTATATCTGCTTAGTTATAGCCTTTACCTACCAATACCAATAACTACCGTGCCCAACGCGAATATATACCTATGTATAATCCGACATGCTCAAGAGTCGAACGGTATCCCCGAAACTGATTCGATACCACTGATTAGTGCATAAATGACAGAACTAGGGGTCGAACCCGACGATGCAGAGAGCCAAACATGGAAGCCTTCGCAAACTCCTGCCTTCGATTCTCAGTTTATGTAAGCGATGCCAAGTATTCCGTAGATTCCCGGTAGATTTGCCCGATCTTCAATGTATCGTGCCACTGGCCGCCGCGGACTTGTTCTGTGCGCGTAGAGCTCACCGCGACTTTTCTTATATCTTAAAAGTGCCCGCCTCCTCGGAACGTCCACCACGTGTACTCGCTCGTTTAGATCGGGTACTCATGTCGACATAACTATGATACATGTGTAGTAGGTACAGAGGTATAAGACTAGGTGGTATCCCTTTTATGTTATATCTACGCCCCCGTATCGTAGTTGTTCGTTAAGAATCTAATACCTAGCCTAGTCCTGTTTACCAAACGTGGGCATTCCTTGGTAAAAAATTCCAATGACCAAAATCTCCGACCCCATCATTAGGCTATGCGAATAATTAAGGACTCTCTAATCAAAGGAGCCGCGCTGAGTGTCTACACGCGACTTGACTTGACTACAACTTCGCAGGAGTTAGATAGTTGAACGCAAGGGAGAACCATAACCGCGAATAAACGCATTTTAAAACATATGGTCACTTGCTAGGAAAGGCAATTAATCTGATCTGACTCAGCCAATCGCTTTCCCCAGTCAACCCTTACGATGGGCGCTTCTTGAAACAGATGAGATCGAGAACCGCTGTCGTGCGACTAACTCGTACAGAACATGTACACCACTCCTAGCCTTAGCCTCATCCTTAACCGCGACGAACATGTACATCATACACCTTCCTACCTTACCACAGCTAACCTAGTTACCTCCTATGCTATAGTACGTAGTATGGCATAAGCTTTCGTTCCTTCGAGCGGAACGGCGATTTGTATCGAAAGGAACGATGAGAAGCATGCTATTTCGCTTACGCGGGAACAGGCATCTTGTAACCGTTGCATTCGCAAGGATTGCCACGAGGTTGCCAAGGCTGCCCCGACAATTTCTCACAGGCACGGATCACGCCTCTAATACACCCCATGCCATGTCCCGCCGCGACATACGCCCTCTAATCTCCGTCGCGTCTTAGTTAAGCCCGTCTACATAGGTAGGGTAGGTATGTATGTACATGCCTACCTATCGAACTACAAGTGTATACTTCTTCGAAAGCCAAGAGAGAGGTAGGTTAGGTACCTACCTATGTAAACACCGCTCTTGCGAATGACGACGTGCCAAGAGCCAAATCCAAGCTCCTCCAAGGGAGAGCCTCCTCCCTTTCTAGCGTATATAGGTATGTAGTAAACACGCCGCCAAGACCTACAGGATAAAATAAAAAGTTCCTTTCAACTACAGCACCGCGCCGCTGTTCTACCGTATGTAACAACAGCCTTACGAGAAACCAGACCAGGAAGCTCAGTTGGTGTAAACGCAGGTACAAGCAGATCCCCTAAGATTAGAATAAAACGTACTAACCCCCAAGCAAACGCCAAACTTACCTACGCTATGTATGTAGATCTTCAGGTCCCCTCCACTTCTAACATGTACTTTGGCTCGCGGGAGGTAAGCGGTATGTAAACCATTCCAGCGGGAATTGCTGTTAGCCGCCATGGAAGTCAGTATTTCACTCAGGGGGGGAGGGGATCTAGGCCACGTTTTTGGGGGCTTAAACGTAAATCGAGGAGAGACGCCGCTGGAATGATCTCGACGACACCACCCAAGCCGTAGTTCTCCTCTCCAGCTTCTCCATAGTTAATCCTTCCACAAACTACCACGTCCCATCGGGGATAGTGTTAGATGGCGAAACGTCGCATTGCATACCTAACCTACCTACCTACCTACCTAGGTATCTATATAGTATGTAAGGCGTGAAAGTCAAATTAGACCAGCAATCCTATCTATCTTAGCTTAGCTCTCGCTACTGCATGTATGTACATAGTTATGCTCGTCAGAAGTCCTACATAGGAAACCTGGAGACGGGAAGCGCGATGACTGGGTGCGGTCCTGTTGTTGTTGGTACCTAAGGTAGCCAGCCGGCTTACAAGCATCGTGTGTACCATCCGCGCTTAATACCTACATGCCAACTGGCGACGAGATCATCATCCCATCCTAGACCCGGTACTTGCGCGCATAGCTTAGGTTAGGTATGTATGAGAAAGCCCCCCGTCGATCCCCTCGTGGGGGCCATGAAAAGATTCGAAAAGTTCCATGTTGTGGCGGACTGACTACCTACCTACAGTAGTCACTCTAGAGGAATGCGTCCGGCGCCACGGCTGTGTAGGATCTGGCTACTACGTGACTTCCATACCTCGTACGTACGTCCTTACGTCAGGTACGTAAGTAAGATCGATGCCCATGAGAGGCAGTGGCGTGTGTGTGTGGGCAAATAGTCCAGGCCACCCACACGCATCTCTGAAACATGTATGCGCGTAGCGTATGTGTCCGTCTATCTAAGGATCGATGACACGCCTCTTACAAATGTCCGCTTCGGGCAAAGGCCATGTGCTCGTCGTTACCTATGTCGCCTCGCCAACCCGGCGCCGAAACGCCGCGCCGCAACGAAGACGCGGTAAGTTCCGCTAACCCCGGGAAGGGGGGGGGGGACGAGGGACGACGATATCTTGGAGTTGCTAGTCAGTTGCCGAGCCGAATGATTGCGTGCTACTATTTCTGGAGTGCGTAGCTGATCTTCCTGCTTCGGCGATAAGCCAGCTTGATCAGTAATCACCCGGGCATTAGACATTAGACATCCTTAACTCTACTTCGTAGCCCTCGGCTCCTCGTCGATGAATGCTCGGAACGCAGGTATCCCTTAATACCGAATGTTTAGTACTAGCCCGTAATTTGGGTTAGATGATATCACCCTTTGTGAACGACATCGGGACTGTTTTGTTGGATCCTCTAGTATATCTTAACAAGCTACCTAATCTAAGGGGCATCCCAGAATCCTCTTTCACGCACAACTCCAACTTGCTCACGATACATGAGCTCGAATCCCTCCAAGGGTCTAAGTTATGGCATACAAAGCTTCACAAATTCACCCATATCAAGGAAATGCCATCTGGATGAAGTTGTGACAATTTCAATTTCGTAATTTTCGCTCCAAATAATGCTGACTACCTACCTACGTGATCAATGCAGACCAATAACCATGATATATAGGACTATACCACACAAAGCAATCCACGCTGAAACCCCGACACTCCTGGTATACAATTCCCCCCTTTCGCAGTATTGTGCACAATGAAGAGGGGTTATTATACCGCCCCTCTATAGTCGTCTCTCCTTAATCGTAATCAATTTCCGCTAGAGGTAGCACTCTAGCATTGAACGTAATTAAAACCCACACCAGGTGGCCGATGAAAAGAACAAATTTCTCTCGCGCCTACCCCTCATGCGAGTCGCATCCCGGAAGCATTATTCAACCACGCCCTTATTCTCCGTGCTCTTCGATTCGACATAAAGTGGCCTGTAGCATCTGGTCGGTGCTGTTGAATCCCGGGAACATATCTAGTGTTATTAGCATCCAAGGGCTCTCCTCTTAAGTCACCCTACATTCCTTCTAGAGGTTGAGCGAAGGTGTAGTTGAAATCTAGCAAGCCATCTAGCATCCAGTGCTGGGGGTCGAAGAAGTCATAATTCGCGTCACTTCCATACCCTAACCCAATCATACTATTAGCACCAGCGCTTAGGCCGTGACTTGCCGTTGGTGTTATGCCACCATTATTCGTCGCCATCGTCGTCAGGTTCGCCAGATTATTATGCGGCAATAATGTGCTATCCATGTGTGTGGAAGACGCGGAAGACTCATTACCTGAGTCTGGATTAGTTGGATGCTTAAGAGCTGCTCGATATTAGTAAATCCCCCAAGCCACGCGAGCGAGGTATACTAATCGAGAGGAAAGAAATTAGGAAATGACCTTACCATCAAGTGTCCCACGACCCTGAGCTTGATACTCTTCCCTCCAGCGCCAAATAGAGTCAAATACGAGACTCATGCTATGCCTACAACGGACCTTCAATTGGAGGCTATCGTCGATAAGAACAGAACTGTCGTCGTCGTGAAATGAGGTGTTGTTCTTATTGTCAATTCGCGCGCCATTCCACATCTGAACCATGAGCTCCGCTAGCCGCCACTGCAGATCGTTGTCTAGCACGCTCGTTCTACGAATAGCATTGATGGTTTTATGAAATAGAGTCCTCCCCCTTTCGAAGTCTATCGTTTTAGCAAAGAACGATCTCATCAACTTTAATAGAGCGAACCCGGCAGCAACAAGCATCTGTTGGATGTAATTAGTGGCATATAGTAATATATGCTGGTTTGTATCCAGGAACAGGAGATCTAGGAAGCTTGTAATGGCTCGCCATAGGCCCATGAGGTCGTCCATATAACCGGGAGTACTGCTGGAATCAAAGAATCCAGCGAGGCGAAGATGGACATTGGCAGCGGTTAAGTGTACCTCCACAATCGGCGATAAACGTTGCGAAAGGATTGATGTCTGTAGTTCTTGGAAGTCCCGGCGGTATACCCGCATCAGCATGGCTCTGTGTTCGTCGCCGGCCACGCCCCTAGGGTCGCTCGCATTGCTATACATTTCCTTTGAGACCTTGTCACAAAACCTCTCTATTCTTAACCTAGCCTCAAGCTCAGGGGAAAGCGTGAAGGGGCCATCCTCACCGGGGCGGATTGCTAATGTCCAGTCGTAGAGAGAAGTAGCCGGCTGGCCGTAGCCGGTCCCAATAGATTGAGCGACAATGTTGCATACGGCCCAGGTCGTTACTCGGTCATGAAGCTGGTCCTTGTTAAGCTCTACTGATACGCGGGAGAAATCTTGGGTATGGTTAGGTCGGTGTAGGCCAATACCTGTGGCAGCTTTCATCATCACGCCACATAGAATGTGAGTTGGGTCTGCCGTCGTTGTGCTTGTCGGTAGAGGCCAAGTACATAATAGGCAAAGTGCCTTAACGACGAAATAGCTATTTGGTACGTCGCCCACGGTACCCCAGAGCAGTCTATTCAGAGGGCCGCTTGACAATTCGTGCAAGATGCTAGGCTTAGCATGGTAACGCCGCGAGGCAATGGCGATGATGGTCCAGAACAGTAAGGCATGTTGCTGATAATATAAATCAGGAGACTGATGCTCGTTTAAGAAGGGGAGGAACGGGTGGTAATAACTGAAAAATTCCTGGAACAAGCCGTGGACATCCTGCTCGGTCAGCCGCACTGTCTCAAGCTCATAGGCATAATGGGTTGCGGCTAAGCTATACGACCCTCCTCGCTTGAGAGTCAGAAGGGACGTAACAGCCTCATCGGATCCCATGAGCGAAGGATTTCGGGTATGCGAATACGCACTATTTGCGACGGGGGATTGCAATTGAGATTGCAGGTCTTCGTCATCGTCAATTACAAAGCCCTGGGCTTTGGCCTGTGCTATCTTGCGACGTAACCGGTCGATCTCCTTTTCCATCTCGGCATGTTTCGACCTCTTGCCGATCCGTTTGAAATTAGACTCGATCTTGCACTCGAGTTTTAGACGATTACACCTCGAACAACTTTGAAATGGCTCTTGGACGACATCGCACCTAAGTTTCTGCTGCCTACATTCATTACACGCACTATCCAGATACCGTTAGCTATGTGTCATCGTGTATATGTATGTGTATATGTATATGCATATATGTATAAGCATTGATACATGTTGAGGTTAAGATATTATATAATGATATTATACGCGAATGGATCGTGGACATACCGCTTCACACCGGGTTGCCTCTTCTTTTCGGGTTCGGCGAGGGACTGATCTTCGTCGCCGATAACGCTACCGGGACTGCTTTCTATTCCTAGACCGCCTTCGCTGCGTTTTCGCTTCATGGAACCATGGCGATGAACGCTCACAGGGCTGGTAGGGCTCGTCGACGGCGCCGAAACGGCGCCGACAACTGTGTGGCCATCCATGCACTCTCAATTGACTAATTATATCAATCCAATTGAACGTGACGAATATGACAAGCTGTTGAATTTGAGGTAATTTCTTTGCTCCGTATGGCTCCGTGCCGCTGCACCGGCCGCGGCTGAGTTTTGCTCAGCTTTGCTTTACGTCGAGGTTCCGAGACCGATCACGGAATTGAGCAATTGAATTGGGGGGGTCTGGGCTAATAGCGATAAGAGGATATGAGTAGAAATTTGGGTGGGAAAGGCGACTTGCGGCTCTCTGACTTGACAACGGGGGAAAAAAAAAAGTTGTTCGTTTTTTTTTTGCCGCTAACGCGGGGTGGCGGGCAATGCGCTGGAAAGTGGATACTAGATACTGGATATACTGGATACTGGATAGTACTAATATACTAATAAAGAAAGAACAAGTAAGGGTAAAGGTGAAGCAGGTAAGGGCAAAGCAGTTAGGTAAAGAAAAATCAAGAATATAATTTGGCTTTTGTCAAAGTTGTTTTAAGAATCATCCACTACCCATAAGCTCGAAATCTCATTAGACGCTGATGGTTTCAATTGACCAAAGAGATTGGACTAATTGGTCTCAATATCAAAAGGTCATAAGTATCGGAATGCACGTAGGGTCAGGTACCTACATTACCTAAAGCGAGGAGGTACCTTAACAGCAAATCATGGCAAGTCATAGCAAATCATGGGTCTTGTAAGGAAAGAATGAGTTGTTCATTGTGCAAAGCTCCATCCATCTCAAGCCGTCAACTGCATACAACTTGCATAGGACTTCCCTTGGCCGCCTTCCATCGACGAGTAAAAATGAGGGGTAACAAGGTCACACTTTACCCATCTTGGCCTACGGAATACTAGTCTAGGAAGGTAATCCCGGTCTAAGTGATCAGGTGCTCTTACCCCAATTTGTTTTCTTCAAATGAGAATCCCTGGGCCCTGGCAGTCGAGGAAACACCATTTCAGTATTATATTCGCTTCGCAAGATCTTTACAGCTTTCCAATTGACTCCAAGTAAAGAATTTTCTCTCTTTTTTTCTTCAGTAGTATGTTCTAAATGCTAAGAATATTTCAATTGATCAACTGGTTCGCATTGTCGCACAATCGAGATAGTTACGAAACAGCTTCGGCTCGACCGAAAAGAGTCGCGGTAGGCCAAAATGTCCCATTTAGTTCTTACCTAAAATAGGCAAGCCACCAGCGCTACCAGAAAGACGCTATTATGTACATACGTATTGTACATACGTAGGCGACTAAGAGAATGCTCGGTCCGTGCACATTTACCGAAGTATAAGCGGCCTCTCTTCGGTTCCACCTATTATCATCCTATCATTCTCATCCTACCATCGCATTCAACGCTATACGCTATACAAATCACATCTTACGTGTATCCTACATATTAAAAATCATACAATTCTAAGCCTACCACTTAGGACTACCACCGCATTAAACTTGGGATCACGTACAAAGTAAAGACGTGTATATGTTTTGTGTGTCGGAGTAGAAAAGGTCAGGTCAAAATGTCGACTGAGCAGCGCGGACATGTTCACCGAGAACTGGTCAAGGGTAAACTTCGACCACCGGTGAAGCCGCCCTCCACCAAATCGTATACAGTTGCCCCGGCGTCGATCAACGAAGTTATGGTGAGAAAGCCATCTGAGAGACAAGTGAACCGTACGTGTCTATGATCAATTAAGCTCAATCCGAGCCTCGTTTTTGACAATCTTTTCAGACGGTCCTGTTGAGATCTCGTCTGCGGCTACAGCTCAACCGTTTTTAGATCCCAGGGTCCTTGAACGTCGTAGACGCAACGTCGACGTGACTTAGAAAAAAACCTGTGGGGCGTATTGTCCTCAAACCCTAGTGGTATAGGCAATCCTGATTTATTCGGGCTTTGCTAAGTGCATGAGGGTGCAGTCATACCCTTTCTGTTCCCAGGAACGGAATGGACGGGTATGTTGAGACGAGGGCTGATCTCTCATATGCCGAGACCCTCCACTGCTTCCGGCTAGACTGGGTTTTGCATGCGTGATACATATCGCAGCATGCCGAGCCTAAGTCACATATCATTATCTTTGGTTTTGATGATGCATACTCGGAGTAGACCTACCGGGCTACTTAAATCGCCACATTGCTGCCATACTAGTGCTATGCAGCCTTCAGCCATGCTTTTGTAGCTGCTGCTACCTAGCTGTCTCCCGCCTGACGTGGGTCTCCAATCTCAAGAGCTACATGGGGGCCACTTCACGAGTCAAGTCATCTTTAAATGACCCTTAATCGGATAAGTATGGATTAACAACCTTTTGCCCTTCTCTCCGTTCTCTGGGACCTACACGTATTTACTACATGCATGCGAGGTGAATCAGACGAAACGGGTTGCTGGCGCCTAATATTTGAGTTAGGGAAGTCCTCCAAACTGGTTCGTCGTTATATTAGGGTTTCCACACACTGGCGTCTTTTCTCGTGAAACACACCAGTTATTCAACAGAAAATGTGAGTGGGAATTGAAGATCAAGCATGTGCTTCCGCCTCTCGTTCCCGGATTTCGCCCCCGGCCCTATGAGCTTCTCTCCGGTCCGCAGTGTAACGAAGATCCCGACTTTCTCAATGTAGCACTCACACGTACTGAGAGCTTTATGGACGGACCGACAGTACCAAATAATGGTTATCGATCGGGCCCCCGCAGCGAATGTGGTCCCAGATGTTATCAGAATAAGCGACCTTATGGATCCGGATGCAGGTATGCGAAGGTAGCTTTGATAGGACTTGATGCTACAAGCAGTTATAATAAGGCTGACTAGCACACACGGGACATGCGCGTCGCCAAAATAGGATGTTTCCTACTATACTAGAAGCTCTATATTAAGTTTTGAAGTCAAACGTATCGAATGCTCGACCAGTTCATGTTACATCCCGTATATTGGAGCTTCGACCGCTTTTTCGAGAATTCTATTCAAGTGGGATCGAAGATGGTATTACCCATGGAACTTCCCTCTCCAATGAGATCAATATGCAAAGGTTAACGTGTTCAATCACCTAGTTACCACCTAGTTTATATCGAGATTGAAGAAGTGTATACCGGGTCGATGTGCTTTGACTCTTTAGACTACATACCTACATACGATAGATAACACGGTACCATTGACTATTATTCGGCATGCACCCTCGGGGTATATACGTATTCCTTCTCTACTCTTCACCGATATTGTTCACTATTGTACCTCGTCAAGTTGTCTTACGCATCTCGATGGCTCGATATTCTAATCCACTATCACATCACACCTTGGCATTAGCTTGAATACCCTACATAGTATCTCGACCCACGTCCTCGAGATAGGTAATACAATTCAACCTCAGAACTTTACCTGGAGCTAGAAATCAACACAACACATAAGCTACGCTAAAGGGAAAAGCTCCTAATAGCCACCCTTGGTAGTCTAGTTGGTTATGGCGTTCGGCTGTAATTGTGATGATTGTATACCGAAAAGTCACCGGTTCGATTCCGGTCCGAGGGATCTTCATTTTTGACGTCGTCTTCCATCGCGACCCCCCCTTTTTTTGGCGGACCCATCTCCCAGGATTATAGCGAAATCTATCAACAAAATGAATCTGAATCGTGGAAAAACATTAAAAAAAAAATAAACATACAACACTGGGGATTCGCTGGTCGTCACCGACCCAACTACTGGTCCAGCGGTATCTGGTTTATCGAGGGGAGAGCGGACGGGATCCCGAGTTTTCCAGATCCTATGGTCGTATGTGAAGGAGTAGGTTTCTAAGTGTAACTTATATACCTATCCTTAGCGGTAGGACTAGTAGAACTGCCGTCTCACATTAGGTAGACATTGAAAACGGTTGGTTGGGTCTGATCTCTTGTTATGAAATGACCCCTCAGAAACAGTGCGGCTCGAAATGTACGGTATACATTAGGTATAGTTAGTCGAGCAGAGAAAGACACTTACGGCCAAGCCGGCTGCGTTCGAGGAAGAACTTCCCACCGAATCAAGTGGCTTAGATGTTTAAAGGGAGATTGCTGTTTTGGCATAGTAGCTATATAGGCAGATAGATAGAAAATATCAGACGGAATTAGATCAAGCTTAAGTATCATAACAGGTAGGAGGACATATTAGGCAGGCCATTTTCAGCGCAGTTGGTTAATTGTCAACGAGGTGAATTGGGCTTTTAACAGCTTCGTATTATATTGGGTGCTTTGCTCGGGGACTATATACGGTGGAAGGGTCAAAATGTTAAATAAGGAGCTGAAGTCATTGAATTCCGCCATTCTCGCTATAGTCAGTCTTCTACTTACTTAGTTGTTGTAGACTTGTCGTTATACCCAGGGAGGAGAGAGAGAAGTTGAAGCAAGGCTGGATCATTCATACTTCCAAGATACAAGCTCTTAAATCTATCTAAATTGGTTGATCAGGGGTTCAAATGGTGATATATATACTCTGACAAAGGGAAAAAAAACAAATATTGAAGAAAAGGGAACAAAAACAACAGCACACATACCGAAACAAGGCGCAAATCCTAGACCTACAGCCCCTTCGATAATTCACGACGAGACGGCAAATTTGTATTTCAGCTAACGCACCCAAATGCAGTACCTAACATACCTACATACATACGTCAAGCAACCTAGCCAGCCATCATCATCATTATCATCATCATTATCATAATCAGCTTCAATTTGCAAGCCCCCCAGCCTAAATAACGCGCATGCAATCCGTACCGCTGCCATCTCTCCAAACGTCATAACTCATAAATAAACCCATTCCTCTACCTAACCTAGCTTTCTTCGTTCCCCTTTGCCATACCTAAACGATCCCACGTGCTTGCATGCGTACCTAGGTAGGTAGGTATCCCGACGACAGGATGAATATAAAATAGATAAAACGCAAAACTTTCCTTTCTGCGTGGAAGTATTTCTTGCCAACCAAATGTGTGTGTGAATAGAAACTTTTCCTCATCCCTCCGACCTGGTATTATGATGCGAAAAAAAGAAGCCCCCTCCCCCCAAAAAAACCGTGAGAATAGCCCCCGGAACATGTATTCCCACAACCAAATTACAGCATCCTCCCGCATACCCTAAGACGACCCCCTCCTCGCCCTATACTGACTTCCCCGTCCGCTAAACAAGCGCTTCAACACGCCCTTCTGCGGCCTCTCCTCCTCCCCCCTTTCCTCCCCCTCCTCCTCCTCCTCCTCATACCCCCCCTGATCTCGATCCCCTTCACCCCAACTCTCCGCACCCCCACCCCCATCCGCGTCCTCGCCCTCGTACTCGTACCACAGCCTCGGAACCAGCAACCGATACGGCACCGTGATGCCCGCCGGGTCCCGCGCGTTGACCTCCACGTTGAGACACACGTCCAGCCCGCCTTGCAGATCGACTTCGAACTTGGCCGCGCCCCCTGCCGCCTGTAGTTGCTTTGCCGTAAGCCCCGTCGGCGTGCGGTGGAATGGCCGCGATGGCCGCGGCGGCGGCGCGTCCCACTCCGAGCTGGGGTTGTCGTCGTATGTGCTGTAGTTATTGCTAAACCCGTGCTCGCCCCTGGTCGGCTGCGTGAACGCGCGGCGCGGCGACGTAGCTGTGAAATACGCTTCGTCGCCGACTTCGTACTCGTCGTTGCGCTCCACGCCCCCGCCGCGCATCCGGCCCATATTCGTGGTCGCGGCCCCTCCCGCGTAGTAATCCATCGCAGTAGGGACATATGCAGCTGGCCCAACCGGTGCGGCAGTCATAGTCATAGTCGTAGCGCGTGCGCGCCGGGCCCGCGACGCTTCGTACATGGCCTCCTCCTCCTCCTCGTCGCTGTCGGGGCCCCAGCCACCATTGATGCCGCCGTCATCAGGCCTGTCGAAGCTGTTCCTCCGGCGGCCGAAGATGCTGCCGCTATTATTGCCGCGCGGGCGGGAGCTGTCGACGCGGCCGAGAGAGAGGGTGCGTAGGAGGCCGCCTGGGCGCGATCCGCCACTGGTAGAAGCGCGGCGCGAGAGCGAGCGCAGGAAGCCGCTGCCGCTGCCGGAGACGGGCGGGCGCGAACGGTCTGCGGGTCCGCGGGGTCCGTCCTTGCGGAGGACGGAGCCTTTTCTTTTCGACGAGAATCTGCGGAAGAGGCCGCCCCGGCTGCCTGGTGGAGTGCCTTCAGGGCTCATTTCGTAGTCCTCTGGCGGTGGTGTGGGTGGTGGTGTCTGCCCGGGTACGTACTCGCGTATAGAGCACCAGTTTCGGTGAGGGAGGAGACGCTTGTTATTACGGGGTTTCCCGTCCACTCCGTTGGTAAAGATAGGAATCATGTCCTCGTCAGTCTCCTTGTCAAAATGATGAACTTTGTTCCGCTTGTTGAGTATGTCGGCCATGATGTCGGGAGGCGGCGTGTTGGCGATGGCGGATGATACGATGTTAGGCATGTAGCGGAAGTCGTTATGCTTAGCAAGCTCCTGCTTAGGGTTTGAGTAGAACTGGCCGATGGCAGCTAAATGCACATCGCCACTTAGAATCGTCACGCGAACAGACTTGTCCGCGGCGAGATCCTGGAGGTCTTCGATAACGACTCTTCGCTCATCCTTGTGGTTCTTCGCTGTCCAGTGGTCATCAAGATCATCGAGAACTTCGACGCCTCCGTCGAAGCGGTTGAGGAAACCACCTAGCATGCCCGCTTTTCCAAGGGCTTTGATGGGATCCATCAATCGTGAAGTCAAGCTAGGGACGTTAGCACTCTCGTATTAGATCTGGGCAGGATTAAAACTTACATGTTCTCTAGCCACACCAACCGAGGATAGGCAATTGGAACCCCCAAGAGAACGAGAAGATGCTGCGTCTTGCCCCTGACTATCTCATCATAACAGCGGTCCATAAGCTTCTTCCACGTATTTTCACGCAAGACGTCGTCTCTTGTACGCTCGGTTCGACAATCAACCGCGAGCAGCGCAATTTTGGATCCCAGAAACATGAACGTACTGCGGCTCAACTCGCGAATATAAGGTCCTGGCTTGACGCCTAGAATCCAACTCGGTTCTGCGTCTTCGGTTTCATCGGGTACGCTCTGGTGCTGGAAGAGCATATAGTATTTAAATGCGACATTACCCAAGCCGCTGAACACTGGGGACTTCATGAAGTGATGGGGATAGGAACCAAAGCCATCTATAATGTCGTGGTCATCGTACATGTTGACCATGGGGATCTGACAGTTTGCTAGGCCGAACAAGCCTTGCGAGAACCACATCATGTACCTATTTAGGTAGAACGTCTCCATCTCATCCTGCAACTCTGGTATTAATGGCGCATTATTTTTGTGCAGAGGATTCTTGATATCCAGCCAGTTATGGAAATGAGGGCTCTCTCGCATGATAGCATCATTGTAAAGTTGATCTCCGCCTCCAAGCATGACGTGGAACGGTCGGGTTTGATGGTTGTTAAGGACGTCACGCCACAGAGGATCTGGTCCGCTGAAGTCGTCTGGATTCACACTCAGACTGAACCCATTGCAACTGTAGAACATAATATTCATCGACTCGCCCCGAGGGGGTACCCAGAAGCCCATGGCAGGGCCACGGTTGATGCGGTAGGCTATTCTCTGCTGATAGTCTCGGAGTTCGACTTCAATGTTGAATCTCCAGAACGTGTAGCCTCGTTCCGCGTGCAGCCGGAACCCACGAACATCCTTGTACTTCCCCAGCTTCTCTCCGTCAACCTGCGTCCGTCTTTTACGACTAGTAAAAGAACCCGGAGGGTCAGGCCCGTTGCTGAAGTCAGGGGCAGTTCTTGTGATTTCGAATAGACCATCATCAGGCTCTAATCTCGAAACATCCTTAGCTTCTTCTAGGTGTTCCACCGGCCGTACGTATAGCGTTTCTCCTCGTCTACCAAGCTTCGGTATGCCGGCGATCGGGTCCACATACTCTGGTGGAAGAGTCTGTTCCCCACGTAGCTCTACGGGAGGAGGCGGGAGGAGTTCAATAGGCTGGACAAAGAGCCGCAGGATCGGAGGAATGTCATATGACGACTCCGAGTCTTGCGTGACGATCATGACGCTGCCTCTCCATATCTCTAGGTCAGAAACCTCGTCGTTGCGGTTTGCTTGTGGTGATGGCTTTTCGTAACGAAGGCCACAGTAGCGTAGCAGCGGTCCACATTTGAGATATAATGCTGGTTTAAACCTCGTCGGACCCTTGGCATCATCATACGGGTCCTCGAGGGCTTCAGGTGGTGGTCGCGTTGTCGTACTACCTCTACGCTTACTGCTAGGGGGACTCTCCCACCATGGCGTACTCTTTTCGGCGATAGGGTTCGGTTCTTCATTTAGGTCTAACAAAGGACCTGCCAGCGTTCCAACTGGAGCCTTCTTCCATTCCTCCAAGTACTTCGGCCGCTGATATATCCCTCGACCAGGTTTGAGCTTACTCCGATATATGTAATCGTGGATACCGAGTTTATGATCGGTCATATCCGAATCATAGTCGTCCTCTTCGAACATTTGGGCCTCATGCTTCCGATCCGGAAACGTAACAGATTTCACAACATTCCTAACGGGTGCCGGCGGGTCTTCTATATTACGTACCGGGGTTTGATAAGGATGCTGTGACGGTAGTGTGCTTAAATTGTTCCTTGCGGACTCGGACTTGGATCGGCCGGGCACAACCGCAGCAGCAGGTGCTTTCTGTTGAACTAGAGGTTCTTTATACTCTTCTTGTTTTAGCTGCTTACCTCTCGCTGGCGGTCTTTCGTTATACTCTGGCGAAATAGGCACCCTCGTACCCATCTCATTTCTGGGCCTGGCGGTTCCTAGCGGGATGCCCGCGTCTCTAGGCACTTCAATTGGTCGCTCTTTTTGCGAGTTGTGTCTGTACGGAGCTGTTGATCTTTCCTCGGCCTCCTTACGCGCGCTATACCAGGGGTCACCCGGCGGGTTCTTCTTAAGCTTGTTGCTTCCACTACGAGTAAGAGAAAAGCCTCCGCTCACTGGAGTAATAGGTGACGTTGGTGAATTACTTTCTGCATCTCTTGGCACGTTGATGTCGTTCTTAGCAGCTCTCTCACGAAAACTTAGGTTACCTTGGGGTATATCAGCCTTCTCAGCTGCTGTGACATTGCGATTCCTAGCAACTGGAATCTGTGAGCGTGGAAACTGGTCGGGTAGCTGCCTGGCTTCTTCTGGGAGGCTACGAGTTACAGGCACGTGGGATGCGGTCGCTGATGGCTGCGTCGATACTAGATCAGTAACAACTGCACGTTGTTCTTCTGACCGGGCGTCGGATTGACGCCCATCTCTAGGCCGAGCCTGCTGGGCATTTTGTCGTTCTGGTAAAAGTTGAAGCCTCTCTTGAATCGAAGCACTTTCTCTCCGCGCTGCTCGTTCTCTTGCGCGATGCTCGGCAGCTTCTACGCGGGCTCGCTTCTCTTCCTTGGTGATGCTATCGAGGGTCAGCTCGAGCCTTTGCAACGGTGACCGGTCGTCTGCCCACGTTGGGCGCTTTACTGGCGCATTTAGTGTTCCTTGTCTCTTTGGTGCGGAGGGATCCACGGTCTCCTTCTCCTTCTCTGCTGTATCGCCATTTGCTGGTTTTCCTATAGATCTAGTTCCCTCTAGGCCCCGAAATGCTTGCTTGCTAGCACCCCCGCTCTCGTCAAATGTTTGCCGACCTCGATCTAGTACGGGTGCTCGATTTAGTCTGTCAACCTCTGGGGTATCATCTTTGTAAAAAGACTCGGACTCCATGGCTGATATTCGTGCTTGAGGGGAACCGTATCTGGGAGAACTAAATCGGTAAGCCGAAAGCGGCGGCCCAGGCGAACCGTCCGGATTGTAGGTATACGTCGGAGTAAAGGCCGGGCTACTGTTTCTGTAAGGGTCCCTGTAGCTGACAGGCGGAGCTCTAGGGACGTCGGGAGCGGCTGGAGGAGGGGGAGGTGATGCGGGAGTCTCGGTCTCGTCGTAAGAGATATCTTCTTGCGCCCGGTTGGTACGTCTTGCCCGCTTCCCCTGCGTCTCTACGGGATATTGGTTTTGCCCGTAAGGCAGAGAAGGCGGACGGGGAGCTAGCCCGTTACCGTTACCTGGAAAGTTGGAAGTAGCAGGTGATTGTAGAGGACTAAGTGTAGATTCCGTATAAGCGTCGGTGTGACTAGTTTGCACAGATGCCCGGTTCGACCGTGGTTGTGATAGCGACTGCGATCGGGGGTGGGAGTAGGAGGTCTGGGACTGGGACTGAGACGGAGCGGCGGACTGATCCAAAGACTGTCTACGATCATCAGTCTGGTCATAGTCGGCAGACATACGACGAGCTTTTGATGGGGGCAATTGGCCCCAATAAGGCGCCGACATTATGGGTAGCTATTAGGCCCAGCGGTGATTGGGCTGCAAAGACAGGCTGAACTTGAACTGGAACTGGGGGGGAAGAGGGCGTGTCGAGACTAACACAGTAGCTCTCATCTGCGGGTGCCCATGATAGACCAATGCCATGCAGACACATGCGGTTCGGGTGGTTGAAGCCAGTAATTAATGCAGGGGGAGATGGGGAAGAACAGATTCAAGTATTCAAGACATATGTAACATTATGGAGACGGAATCGCGGACCATAGGGATTATAGAAGAAGTATTGGTTAGGTAGTGTTTAACAGTTAGTGTATTGGTTGATCTATACTTGAAGGGCCCTGAGAAAAATTAATAGGTTGGCTGGTATAAAATATTCCAGCCTTCTCAGGCTGGCGCAAGGAAAAAGAAGCTTCACAGGGATCTTTTTTTTCCCTTTCGGATCTCCAACCGTAACAAGCCTCCCGATTTTCCTCGTTTGAATCCTGAATTACGACTGGTGCGGAACAGGGGAGAACCAAGCCATGTAACCCGGTAAGATACAGATCTGACCTCGTACCGGTATCTCATCAATAATAAGAAGCTACCATACCTCCTAAGGAGCTTTCCTAAGGAGGGGAAAATAAAAGTAGGCGTCGCATATTCCCCGATCATGGATCATGAATATGATGGATCTGATTTCCCGGGAAAAGAAGCGGTCAACTGGCCGGCGGAGTTTTTAGTATCGTATGCGGCTTGAAGGTTAGGTACATATATGAAAGTGGATTGACCTTTTTTGCCAAGGAATCGGAGTTGATGCTCGGGAGCTAAATCTGTTTGTCGCAAATCTGTTTGTCGCAAAATTACGGATATGTTGCGCACCAACCCGAAGTGACTGAGTGATAAGACGGAAAGCCGAAACAACGGTGGTTGGCCGTAAGCATGCTTTATTATCCGCTTGACTAGCCGTTATAAGTAAAATTGACGAATTCTACTGCATCTGTATAGTAGATAGTGGTGTTAATTCATAGCTATTTATGAATCCCTTATAATCTCGATGTTTACTACATAGTAGTATCGTATCACTAATATAACCCTCGAAATTACGCAGCTTTCTCGAGTAGACCCTTGAGATACCGTAACTTATCCTCCTTTGAATCCAAGGCATTGAAAACAACAGCCCGTCGCCCTTGTTCTAATACATCCAGGGCTATAACAAATTGATTAGAAGGGATATCGCTAGCCAGGTTTTTGTCAAAGTATTTGACAGCTTTTTCAACATCGTCAGCGCCTTGCGACCGCCCCATCTGATAGCTCCCTTGAATGAATGCCTTTTCAAATCCCTCTAAATCCAGTGGTTTTGGCTTTTTATTATTAGCCTGGCGATTAGTAAGAGCCTTGCGCAATAGGTAACTTTCAACAGCCCTTTTTCTAAGCAACGGCGAGGCCTCTTCGTCGGAATCGTCGGAAATAGACGAGATTAGGTCCGGATCGTACGTACGTTTTCTCTTTTGAGATGACCTGGGAGTGAGTGATGGAGTAGGAGAAGAATCAAATGACGTAGTTGATGCCTGAGAGCTGAATGGATGAGAGTCGTCACCTAAACTGGCGCCTATTGACCGGCTTTCAGGGCCGATAGTATCGATATGATCATCGCTATCTTTACCCTTAGCATGTCGAACTAAAAGCGTATACTCTTCGCCTGCCTCGACGATAAAACTGTCAGTAGATTTATCAGACGGGAACGCTTGTGCGTATATCTCCTTATTACCAAGAGGCTTTACACGTAGCCACTTTCCCGTGGGATGTTCTCGTAAAAACGAGGCCCATTGTTGATCAGATACGACGCGGCACCCGTTATCGTCTTCGCCGTCGCCGCTCGTATAGTCGTTAATCAAGGCCTGGTATTGGAGATAACGCTTTCGTTCAAGTTTTCGTTTACATTTCATCAATTCGCATGACCAAGGCCTTGTAGGATCAGCCTTTTGCATAACCTCGACTAAACGAGGCCAGGCTGGAGCCCACGTCTGAGGCCTATCCATAGCGAATAGACCCTCATTAGTAAGGGCTGCCAACTTCTCCATATACACGGCGGTTAGGTTTGCAGTCCACCTAGCACGTATATGCATTCTGTTTGATTCTGAGGCCATTTTGCGAGGTCGTTTTGCACTTGAATAGCCAGGGGATTCATGTATTTATTTCAACCCCAGAATCAGGCGGAGGAGAATTAGGAGACTCGTTTAAGACCTGATCGTCTTGTTTATGATCAATATAACTAGCCAGTATTTCGAGGCACAAAACTGTTGTCTATGCCGTTGTCTCCACAGACAGCAGTTAAGTTAAATTAGGGGCTGAGCCTTTTAACTCGTCAGTAATAAACCACGGTCTATTAGAATTCATGATAATACCTATTCGAGGCATCAGACGCGATTCAAGTCAAAATCACAAGAAGAAAAAAAGCCAAGTCTAATTGTCTACGATTCAAAAGCGGCAAAGCGATCAACCAAATAAGGTTTGAGTAGATGGAAGTGGAGAAGATTGGTACATCATAGCCCCATATACTATATGTGGGACCGACGTGTATCTATTTTCTCTGTACGAAGTACGTAAGCATGCATAGTAGCTTAAAATTCGAGCCGATCAGGGCCTAAGAGAGCCAATTATAACTTAAGACGTTCTCCACAATCTTGCTAATCTTCCGTGCTAATTTAGTCCCTGAAAGGGAGTGGCGCGTGGCTTGGAAGCGTTTAGGAACACCTGGCTTTCCGCTATGAGTTGCCTATTCTGCTATTATGTAGGCCTGTTAGCGCAAAAGAACGATTAGATTATGCCGCCACAGCAGCACAGGCCCTCCAACTTACGTGCGCATTCGCGTTAACAACGACAGTGAAACCTTCCACTTCTCCCATCTAATCTACCTTATACCTTATTCTATATTCATTCTTTACAATACTCTTACCGGTTGATGAGGCAAACAAGCCGGTTGTATTGTAATATTCATTTAGCAGACTTTCATCTGCGTCAATTGACGGGGAGACTGTCTCCTCTTCATCTGATTAGTTAATTCCTTTACCGTTCATAAAGGGGTTTCTTGCATTGCCTTGAGCGAAGGTGTTTTGTTTCGTCTGTTCCTCTTTTTCCCGGTCGTTTAGCAATAACTACCTTCATCCGAAATACCTCTAAGACCACCTAAATAACTACCTATTTGTCTCCTAACTCGATATCGAATTGCCTACCTTATTCGATCTCACCCGCCTTTCTGTTTCTTGAAGTTCGCTATATCGATAACTACCGACTCGTTCTGAGCTCTGCGGGGTTCTTCGACCGACGTCTACTCGATCCCACACCATGAAGCTCGCTCCTCTGGTTAGCTTGGTTGTCGGTGGCCTGGCTGGATTAGGCACCGCGGTTTTGCAACCCCGAGATTTCGACTCCAACGATTACTACGTCCTCCACCTCGAACGCGATGCTCAGCCTAACCTAATCGCGTCTCGGCTAGGTCTCAGACATGAGGGTCCGCTAGGCGAACTCCCAGGTCATCACATATTCTCTACCTCTAAAGCTAGCGAAGATATTGTGAGGCGCGCTGTGCAAGAGCGTCGGCGCAAGCGGTCGCTAGGCAATGCGGATGTCTTAGATGGAGTAAAATCCTCCCACAAGCAGAAGCTACGGGCCCCTATGCAGAAGCGAGTCATCCCACCCCCGCCAGCCGATCTAAATCCCGGGAAAAGAGAAGACAAACCAGATGCGAAAGCAGTGGAAAAGCAAAAATTCGTCATGGAGAAACTTGGGATTTCCGATCCGATATTCAACGAGCAATGGCATCTTTTCAACCCCGTTCAAGTTGGACATGACGTGAATGTCACCGGTGTCTGGCTGTCGGGCGTCACAGGCAAGAACGCAACTGTAGCTATTGTGGATGACGGGCTGGATATGTACAGCAATGACCTAAAGCCCAACTATTACGCTGCTGGTAGTTACGACTTCAATGACCAGAGACCAGAACCTCGTCCAACCCTTTCCGACGATAGGCATGGTACCCGATGTGCCGGCGAAGTTAGTGCTGCAAAGAACGACGTCTGCGGCGTTGGTGTCGCATACGATTCCAAGATTGCCGGTATTCGCATTCTGAGCAAACTGATCACGGATGCGGATGAAGCTCTCGCAATGAACTACGATTTCCAACATAATGATATTTACTCTTGCTCCTGGGGTCCGCCAGATGATGGACAGTCGATGGACGCTCCCGGTATTCTTATCAAAAGGGCTATGTTGAACGGTGTACAGAAAGGACGTGCTGAGAAGGGATCTATATACGTTTTCGCTAGCGGCAACGGTGCTCAGAGCGAAGATAACTGCAACTTTGACGGGTATACGAATAGCATTTACAGTATCACTGTTGGTGCCATCGACAGGCAGGGATTGCATCCTTACTACTCGGAGAAATGCTCGGCTCAACTCGTCGTTACTTACAGCAGTGGTAGCGGTGATGCTATTCATACAACCGACGTTGGAGAGAATCAATGCTATAACGGACACGGAGGTACCTCTGCCGCTGCGCCCCTGGCTGCCGGAATCTTTGCTTTGGCTCTGGAAGTACGGCCTGACTTGTCCTGGAGAGATATGCAATATATTGCAATGCAGAGTGCAGTGCCCGTAGACCTCGACACTGGAGATTGGCAACCCACAACTATCGGCAAGAATTTTAGTCATACCTTCGGTTACGGCAAGGTTGACAGCTACGCTCTTGTGGAGACGGCAAAGTCTTGGAAAAACGTTAAGCCCCAGGCCTGGTTTTACTCCCCGTGGCTGCATGTCAATAAGGATATCCCTCAAGGAGACAAGGGATTGTCAGTTACCTTCGAAGTCACAAAGGACATGCTCAAAGAAGCAAATCTGGAGCGCCTCGAGCATGTTACCGTGACGATGAATGTCGAGCACACCCGCCGAGGTGACTTGAGTGTCGATCTCATCAGTCCGGACAACGTGGTCAGCCACATCTCTGCTACACGCAAGCATGATGTTAGCAAAGAAGGCTATAACGACTGGACTTTCATGAGTGTGGTTCACTGGTAAGTTTACCGGGTTCTGGTCTGGTGTTTTCATAACTAATGATATTTTAGGGGCGAATCCGGAATTGGGAAATGGACACTCATTGTTCGCGATAGCGTTGTAAATGACGACTCTGGTAAATTTATCGACTGGCATCTTAAACTATGGGGCGAGAGTATCGACGCCTCCAAGGCTACGTTATTACCCATGCCAAACGAAGACGATGACGCAGACCACGATATAACAAGCACCGTTACTCCGCCCGCCGCCACAACCAGCCTCCCTCCAAACCCAGATGCGACCAACACAGCAGAACCGACTGCCGTTCCAACAGACCATCCTGATCGCCCTACTAAACCTAGTAAGACTACGGGCGACAACATTGCTACTGAGACAGGTACCGAGTCCGAAGTCGCGGAGACGACTACTGCTGGAAGTTCTTGGTTGCCCTCATTCCTTCCTACATTCGGTGTCTCCTCTAGCACTCAAGCTTGGATCTACGGTTCTATCGGTCTCATCGTCGCCTTCTGCTGTGGACTCGGCGCGTGGTTCTGGTTCATGCGCCGCAAGCAGCGCCTCAACAACCCTCGCGACGACTACGAGTTCGAGCCTCTCAACGCTAATGATGGCGATGATAACCTAGGCGCACCCGGCGAGAAGGGCAACCAGAAGCGACGTGCTGGTGAGCTGTATGATGCCTTTGCGGGTGGCAGCGAGGACGAAGATGACAATGAAATGGAAAGAGACCATTTTGATATAGCTAGTCGCGACGGCGACGACAGCGATGGCGAAGAAGAAGGGAGAGGGGCTAACAGGGAGAAGCAAAGCTCCAGACTATTAGGCGAGGGGAGGTAGAGTCTCAAGCGTGACACAGAGCTTTTGTAAAAACCGTCTTCTCGAAGCAAGAGACGTCTCTTCGAAAATAGAATCGTCACAGGTAGCATAGTGCTACTACTATCGCTGCTGTCCCTGTATATACATAGTTACCAATATTGGCATATGGCATGGTTCGTAAGGCGTTTGGGAATTGCGAATTAAATAGGTTATACGTTATATACATATATAAACATACCTTATCCAAATACTTTTTTTTTTTTTTTTACCACATATCCAAGTGACTCCTCGCCTAGTTATACCTAAAGTATTCGCATTCATAGGTGGATCGTAAAAGGGACAAGCTTATAAGGCTATCCACTTGCCCGTCTAATCATCCAAGGCGTGGTGGCAGAGTGGTCTAATGCGCAAGACTAGAAATCTTGTTCCTTCGGGAGCGTCTGTTCGAATCAGGCCCACGTCGCAATAATTTGTTTTTTTGCATTTTTGACTGGTTTGTAATTTCATGCTTAGGCATTTAAACTTTTTTTTTCTTTTTACTTCACGCTTTGCTATAACTATGGTTGATATGAGAGTTAGTTATACTAAAAGTTGACATTGTAATAACAGTATAATTCGACCAGCAAAAAAATTTCAAAATGTAATAAGCCTAAGACTGATTTAATTTTACCTACATAAAAGGTAGTAGTCTAAACACACCAATAGCCCACCGACTTACTTCAACAATAATCCACAAGAGGTACCTACCTACCTACATAATCATCTCGACATCTCAAAATCGCATAGCAAGCAAAGAAAACAAAAGACATCGTCGTAATTAAGTAGATAGATTGGTAGATAGATAAATGCTCAGCGGCAGAAGTAGAAGAGCCGAGCTTTGGCAAAGCCCCTTCTTTGCTTTGCTCCCCGTCCCATTCTAGAAGAAACGAAGCAAGCCGAACTCGAATTCCCAAGAAACGCCGTAACTTGCCCGACTTGTCTGTCCCTGATATGATATGAATGTTCCTTAACCACTTCCGCTTCAAAGTTATCTACATAACGTTACCTGGGTCCCTCATATCATAACCTAGCATATGCCACATGCGCCGCCTTTCGGCAGTTGTTCTAGTCTGACCCTTGAGCCCTTTCAAAGGGGTAAAAGTGAGTTGAAGCCTATGGCAAACAAACATATGTCTTCCCGGCTTTCAGCGACTGCCTCGTCCTGTCCTGGCCTGGCCTGGCCTGGCCTAACCTTGGGGGAAAGGCAAGTATGCATGCATATATGTAAGAACGCTACTTTCGATTCGACCCAACGCCCATATCCCCCTCCCTGACACTGTGCCCCTCTTCCTTAACTCTTTTCTTACGCGCTTTTTCTCTCTCCCCCGTTTCCTTATACCACCCGTTCGCCCCCGTCCCGCCCTAAAATTACCCCGTATACGCCGACGAGCTTAATCCCTCCTTCTCCATATCCCGCACATACTGCTCCCAGACATCCGCTACGCTACCGTAAAACTCGACATGCGCGTCCGCCAGGCCACCTAGCTGGCGCTTCAGCTCAATGCGCTTGATGCGCTCGAAATCAACAACCTCTTTCACAACCTCCTCGTCAAAAGCCTCACTTGTCTTCTTCGCGCGCTCGGCTTCCGTCGTCAGCTCGTCGATACGCATCTCAAGCTTGCGCAGGCGTTCGCGCCGACTGGCCTCGTGGTCTACGCCCCGCACGTCCTCGATCTTAGACCGGATGAAGCCCCCGGCACCGCCTAGCGCTCCCGCGCTCCCGTACCCGTACCCCGAAGCCAGCGAGTCACGGTCCGCCGTTGATTTGTTCAGGTACTCGGTGAGTTGCTCGTGGTCGAGTTGCTTCTGCTCGCGCGCCTTGAGCAGGTTCTTCAGCGCGAGGCTGTACGCTTGCATATCTCGCAGACTGCCTAGGTAGTCTTGGTCCGTGTGCTCGCGAAGCTTTTTCAGCCCTGTCGCCGTGTCCTCCACACTAGCCGCAAATCCATGTACCGCGCTCTCAACGCCCGGTTCTAGGGTGATCAGTTTTTGGAATTGCTCCGTAAGGTCTCGCAGATCCGTCTCGAGGTCTATTTCTCGTCGGGCGACCCGCGCCACGACCTTTTCCACGTGCCCTAAGTCTTCGTCCAGCTTATCGCTCTTCTCGCGAACTTCGACGAACCGCTTGTCGTGCTTGTGAACTTTAGTAAAGGCGTTGATGAAGGTGTCGGCAAAGTTGTCAAACACGCCGCCGGTCCCTTGGTCGGAAGCCGTGCTAGTCCTAGAGGCACGAGACTTCATAGTCGCATTCCAGTCGGGGGACTCGAGGAAGGTGTGAAAGATGGGCGCTCGGCGGAGGATGGGGTGCAGGGCAATGCGCGCGAGGAAACGTTGTAGGGAGAAGCCTCGTCGGTTGGTGAAGTCTGAGCCAAAACGATCGCCTCGCACATACTCCATGCGTTGCTTATCTGGAAGCGGTGGTACGGCGCATGCTGGGTAGTCCTTAGATAGGGTCTTGTAGAGGAAGACGAAATCGGTAAAGCGACGACGAGAGGTGAAGGTTGATTTTTGAAAGGAGGGGAATGTCGACTATGTCGGCGGTTTAGTATAACTACAGACATGATATCACAGTATAGAAGTGTATAGAAGCCTGGGCGTAGCCTTACATGAGTTGTAATTAAATATGATACGAATGCATCTTTAGTACCGTCTTGTTCCTTACGAGGCTCGGACACGATACACTCGAGAATGTCGCCGGACAGGCCGGGATCCAGGCGCTCTAGGTCGGCACCATGATGTTGGGCTTGAGCGCTAGGGGGTTCTGCTTCTATAGTAGGTTTAGATGAGCTAGAGCCAGCCATCCCGCTCTCATTGTTACTGCTGCTCCACGGGATGTTGGAGAATGTGTCTTCGTCGATAACCGCCATCGTCAGTGGGGTCTCAGTTCCGGTCTTCACCACAACCTAGCGCACAGATTGAATAATAGAGGTCCTATCGGTATAAACGATGCGTTAATGGTTTTTAATTTGAAAATATTTATGGCAATGAGCTATAGTAAAATGCGATATTACTCCGAGAGGGTTAACGTCGCTATCGTCAATGTAGAGGTGCTGAAGTTGATGATGTGTGATTGGGGATTGGTTTAAACGATTCAGGTGGGGAGCAAGTCGGAGAGCTGCCTATCGGGTACCTAGCCTAAGTACCTAGGTACCTACGTATTGTACCTACCTCGAGGGCTGACACGACTACGTCACACCATGCAATATTTCAAGTTCAGCTTTATGCAAATCACGAGTTATTAGCTTATCTGCTTATACATAGAACAACTTGGTTACGTTTCTATCGATAACATCTATAACATCTATAATTACCTCCATCAACAAAATAAGGTACTCTAATACTCTAGTCTCTAATGACATTACATTACCTACTCTATATATATATATGTACTCGTTGTAATGCTTCTTACAATACAAAGCCCATGTTGTCCCTGTCCTCGTTAATAATTCGTCCCCACTCCAGCAGTAACCGGAACATATACACCTCCATATCCTCCCTCCTAATAGCCTTATCAGTCCACTTACGCCCCTCCTCCGCGATCCAGCGCGCGTCTTCCAGCCGGCCCTGGGTAAGCCGTGATTTCCCATTGATCGGTCCTCGATTCTTGAGGCCGATGAAATATGCCAGCGTGCTATGCAGACCGTGGTAGCGCAGGTCGACCGGCACGAAGTGCACCCACGGCATTAGCCGCTCCGTATACCACTCGCGAAAGATAGTTGACAGCACTGGTACGCTATTAGACCGAAGAATCGGGAGTAGATCAGGCGATGGCCCGTCCGCACTATCAAGCACCATGACATATCGGTTATCAAATGCCTTGGCCGGCTCCTTAAAGCCGAATTCTGTTCGCAAAAGCTGGCAATGTTTTGCATCTGCACAGAATTCGTTATCTGTAAAGGAGAACTGAAAAGGTAGAGGACCATTTGCCTCTTCTAGTAACGTCTTTTCGTACTTAAATTTATCCTTCCCATCAACTTTGTCGCCGAGAAGTACAGATATCGCATCGTTGGCACTGGCGTTATTCGCAAGATGGACTAACCGATGCCGGTGTCCGCCGAATAGCGAAGATTGGGTTATAACTCGCGAATCGCTGGCGTCGCCTTGCCAAAAAACAATATCCTTCTTCTTTTCAAACGCTACATCGTCCGGGCCCCGTAAATCAGGGCTAATAAGCGGGAAGAGAATATCGTTGAAACTGTCAGTTTTCGATCTGCTAAAGATTGGTAAAAGGTCTTGCTGTAAGTCGTAGAGATGAGGCGTCGTATGAAAATCGTGGAGGTTGAATATATCCGGCTGATGACACGGGTTGAGAAACATCTCCCAGTCTCCCAAGAATTGGCCCTGGGAGTGAGGTTTCACACACGAAGGACAGAAATCTCTCATGTCCCAGTGTACTCCTCCACGAGCAGCGGAACCAGGCGGGCACGCCAAGGTTTCGAGTTGTCGAAACTTCGTTGGAGATACATATGTTTGGGTATCCGATCCGAGAACAGCCTTGGCCGTATCGATAGGACCATCCCTCACTAAATTTGGCTCCTCTGCCCGACGTTTACGTGTACGATGAGGAAGAAGCTGGAACCTCCCCCTACTCCCTCTACTTCCCGCCATAGTCAATCTATGAACATCATCCCAAGGAACCAAGATCCTTGGTCGCTCATTCAGGTTGATAGCAATAGACATAGGAGGGAGATGTTCAACAAATGTTGAAATCATTGATACCGCGGATTCTAACATCGGCCTGTGAAGCGACTGTGCGGGTAAGTTGTGGGATGCTTGGCCATCGGCAATTTTAATAATTGCAATATCCGGTAACTCGTACAACTTCTCTAAGCCCTCCTGGATCTGTTGTGGCTTCATGCCCCAAAAAGGTTGGACATCTTCTGCGATCTGATCAAATTTGTCGATAATAACCGATTTCCGTTGCCGTGCATACTCAAACCACTTGTCGAAGTTCGGTGGCGGGTCGCGCCCCTGATGACGATCTTTGTATTCTGTAACAGCAAGCTTCAGCGTGGTACTGACAGTTGCATGTCGGAGCCAGCGATCTGCTTCTACTCTCCTCCTATAAACAAGTTCGTCAACAGGATGGCGATCCAGTTGCCCGTTTTTGAATATGGCATAGATGGTTGATGTAAATATAATAAAGACAAGCAGACATAGAAGGATTACTCGCTTGAAGACGACAATCCATCTCATGCTGTTTGCGTATGTAAAGACCACAAAACCAACGGAGATAATAGATAGCACTACCAGCGGTTGACTGGCTGATGTCTGCTGGTATGTCCCGATCAACGAGACACTCTGAACGCTAGCTAATATACCTGAAGTGAAAGACGCGACGGCCGTAGGTTCTAATACAGTAGAATCGCAAGCCCAAAGTGCCATTGATATGACGAGTGTGGAGACAAGCAGTCCTGTGCTAAAAACATCGAAAAAGTAAAGGGAGCCGATACCCCTGAAAGGGTGGTGGTTAATGATCTCGCGATGCTGAGATATCCGCGTCTCCAGACATAGAAGCAAGACGCCAGCGGATGCCATGAGCAGAATCCCGCCAAGCGTTCGAAGACGACCCTTTGTGGTCCGCGCCCATGAAAGCACCCTCCATGACATAACTATAATGACCGCATCGGTGAGAACGCCTACCCACTGCAAGAACGGGACGAGGATGCCCCCCTTTCCACAGGTCGTGCAAAAGTACGTAGACCTTGAAGTAAAATCGCCTGTCATAAAAACCCCATAACTAAACACGATAGTACTGATGAGGACATTGATAGGAGAGCTTATGAGCCAATTCTTAAAGTCGTCTAACGGGTTGCCCCACATATCTTCAGGCTCATCAGACACAATCGTAGGCGCACGGTATGAAAAGAACTCATAGACAGCTAGGAGTACAGGGAGGAAAGCCTAAGGCACGTTAGAAATATGTGTTGCTTTGGTGGCCGCGGAGAGATGTATTTTTACCTCTACGCCTTCAGAAGCGCATTGGAAGTAAGTGAGCACTTGGTGTGCGATCTCCAAGCGGAAGACAATGAGAAGTATTATACAAGGAACATAAAAACGACGAGGGCGGTGTGGCAGGGACGACTGCATTCCCTTCAGAACCGCCTCCGAATCTATCACGCAATGTCAGGAGCTGTTTCTTTACGGAATGATAATATAAACTTACCAAATCTCCCATCTGCGCCGGGAAGCCATTTTGAAAACAGGCTAGCTATGAAAGCTACCGTGCCTGAGATGAATAAGAGTAAAAATGAGGACAGTCGTGGTTGATCTTTGTGGTGCGTGAGCATCTAAGTAGGTAATAGTTATGTAGGAACTTGTATAGGAACCTACCTATTAATGAATGTCTCTGTAATGAACATGATAACCAGATATATGAAGCGAGAAAGCTACATACACGCCAAGTTAGTCACTTCTTCTCATACTTATAACGACCCAAGGTTGAAATGCTCATGACTTACCAGACGGACGTCAGCCTCGAACCCCCATCACGTGCCATTAGGACTGCATAAAAGCCAGTCGTAATAAAGCCATTCAATGGAAATACGGCATGTAATGTTTTTTTAGTACATAAGGAGTAAAGTGATGAGTTCGATATGAATGGTAGGTAAATCACAAACGGAGCCCTACTGCTAAAAACCCGCTGAAAAAGGAAATGGAGATCCCTATTTCCCCCTGGCTGTGGCGCAGCTGAGATACGTGCGAAGAACGTATTGTGAACTGCGTCAGCTGGGCTAAATTATGTGGGTTTCATAGTGCGAATTTGGCGTGACAAACTATGTATTATTCTCTTAAGTGCTTATATTAGAAACATAGTAAATGTATGCAATAAGGAGGATTAAAGGTATAAACATAAAAGCACTGTATAAGGCTCACGGAAGACATATTATACGACCATTTACTTCGTACGTAATTGTTTGTTATTGATGTATTATACCTATTAAGTAAGTTGGGCGGGCTAGTGAGATTAGTTCAAAGAATTCATTGTAAGTTGAATATTAACTATCACAACTTACAAATCGAAGAGAAATGTCTCATAAGTATTAACTCAATCAAGTTTCAGGTAGTTACATGTATATAAGAAACTAGTTTTAGTCTAAAATACATCAGTAATAATCTTGAAAATTCAAGTATAATAACATAATTCTGTTCCCTAAAGTACCTCAGTACTTTTCAAGTTACCCCCAGCTAACAGCGCCTTCACGTTGTCTTCTTGTGTTACCGGAAGACACGATACCTTAGGTTAGATACCTAATGTTGTCAAGCATACCCAAGATTTTCCCGTGGTATCGGGCTCGATATATGCCTTAGCATGAAGAAAAGTAGCACAGCGATATAATACATGTTATAGGTTAGGTAGGTACTTATAGTGACAGGACAGACTTTACGCCTCGAAACAGACTTGCTGCTGGAATATTATTCATACATGCGTATTTTATTTTTAAATAAAGAGTAGGATGGGAGTGTCTTCACTTGTATGTTATTATTAAGAAAGAGGATAGAGGCTGAATATAACCAACGCCATTACGTATATGGTCTATAAATGATATGATATATGTTGGATTCTAGATGAGATACCTAGGACAGAGAACTCGTTAGTATTGTATACGAGCCTATGGCCCGTCAGATAGTTTAGAGTTCCTCGCGAAACAACTTCGTTTTTTCCATACTGTTTAGTCCCGCCTCGTAACACTTATACCTACCGTATTAGGATTGTAAGCATTCGGTTTTTGGAGAAGGAATTGACCAAACATCTGCACTCCCTGAACTTAAATAATATAGTGAAGTATTAAATTTATTTGCATAAACGTTAAGCTCCTATTAAGGGCCCAAGGGTCTAGTGTAAGTGGTGTAGAGTTCTGACCTAAGGGTCTAAGGGTTGAGCTGAAAATACTATAAATACCTGGCCTCCCGTCGCAGCATATGCCAAAAAAAAAAAAAGAAAACAAGGCTCAGAAGTTTTGTTCTCGTCGTTTTATTCAATTGAAAAACGTTGTTAGCGTTACCACGCTAGTAGTTATCATCATCGTCTTGAACACGGATTAACTTACTATCCTTTTGAAGGAAGGAGGTTGTTTATAAAGAATTATGATGAGAAACAGCTGCTTAAACGTTCCTTGCTATAGGAATGGAAATAGCCTGATGACTGGGTTCATCGACTGGCTGGGATATTAACACATCTATGTACCATACTTAATTAAGGAGGCTATTAAACTTGGAAGATTAAACAATGTGTTCTCCTTTACAGCATTTAAGAAATGGCCTCACGTGTCAGATAATACCACCTTAAGGTAAGTATGTGTCTCCTCCCTTATCGTGACCTTGTTAACCACATTACAGATGGCAAAAATCCTATGCTAAACGTGTTTCTGCATCCACTACTCTGCTATAGTATGCAGGAGTCGTAAGAGTAATACATCTTATTTCCAACATGCAGCATTTCGTGCTCCAGAACAGCACGCACCTCCCACATACCTCGGTCGTGGTCAGGCAACGTTACGATACACCTTATCTAGATGTGCCTATGTGTTTACATAGCTCGCCGTATACGTCATCGAAAGCAGGATCTAGCGGGAGCAGCGGGTTAATTTAGAGCTTAGCTGTCACACTGATATCCCCGTCACTTACGACTTCTAGGATGACCGTATCTAAATTATATTATTTGCTTATCCTAATATATAAGTAAGGAAATGTTACCTAAACTCTGTTGTGCTTCTTTCCGCAGTATGACGTTGAGGTGATGAGAGTCGTAAAGGGTCAGAGGGTAGAAATGCGAGGTAGATACGCGAGGGTTACACCCGCAATGATTCTAGAGAGGCAAGCAATTCGGTATCACCTTCGGGGATGGGTTCGGTTTAATCCCTAACGAGATATTGTAGTATATTGTTATTCCCAGAGACTCGTTTTCGACATATCCGGGATAGGCCGACGCGATGAGAGCGCTGACTAGGTACTTCTTAACCTTGGGATTGGATATCTTGATTTCCTCATGTTGGGCACCAGCCATTTTAACCCTAAACATCGAGTCCCTAAGAGGATAAAGAGAACCGGGCAACTTCGTGAGAGTTATTCTTTGCGAGGGATGTCCGAGACGGCAGTGGTAGGGTTTGAATCGTCTTGATGTGCTTTCAACTCGGCAATTAGCTCATTAACAGCAACTCTTTCTCACTGTTTCTTCTTCGCAGCCGCTTTGGTACACTTAATAATAATGAACCATGGCCAGTTATTGCGCGGTTTGTGCACACAGGAGGAGTGGTACTGTCTTTCGGCCGGGGAAAAAGAAGTATCACCACTTGGCTATTTGTTACCGTCATGAATTATCCCCTCACCCGCACTAGCCGCTGTTATTTATAATAGGTTACCCCATAGGTAGGCATATAGGGCTGAGGAATAGACGGGCTAAACAGAGACAAGACCCTTAATGTTACTGTCGCTAGATCACTTATTTTATCTCTCCTCGGTGGCAAGATATCTGCATCTGGAGGGGGGACGCGTGATCCAAAGCCTGCTAATATGAGCGGCTTCCCGATTAAAGAAAACTGGGATCGTTCAACAATAATATCCTGCAGTAGGGGTCTTTTCTGCCAGGCTGGACTTGCATCGGAGCAAGGGGACTTCACTGGGAGGGCGAGATGATTGGTGAGTATATTGACGTGTCCCGATGGCTACGCTAAATGCCGGATTGATCTGTCGCATTCCCTCGACGGCAGCGGGCCGGTAATCTTATCAAATTGTTCCAGTTGACAGGTCAACAACGGGGAGCCGGGTTTGTGTTATATACCTAAACCTTCAAGTCGATAGACGGGCCTTGTCAGACTAGGTCTTACCCAATCGCGGAAGAGAAGAACAGCATACAACAAAGACTAGAGGACATCTGTGCAATATGTGTATACGATATACAGGCCTTACAAGAGACAAGACTTTGTAAATAGTGCCGTCGACGGTCGTATAGTCTTGGAAGAACGCTAATGCTGCGGAACCTGCGCCAGGACTAACCATAATAGCTGGAAATACTCTCCATGAGTTACACTATTGGACGACGGGCGGAACCAACCAACCCCATGACGAACCCAGGAATCCTCCCATCTGCAGGGTTCGCGGGGAAAAAAGATATTAGAAGAGATGGAAATGCGGGGAGACTCGCAGCTTGTATACCTACTAATATACATATCACATACCTCATATAGGTAGTATGCATATACATGTACGTACTAGGTTAAGCTGTATTCACAATGAGGCAGCGATGCATGGAGAGCGAGCCGAATATGTAGGTGAATATGTAGATGCGATCATGTGGCGTCGGTTTATATCAACAAATATTATACCCCTGACCATCCTACCATCTTGCTGATTCGACCGGTTAACTAGTAACAGAACGGAACGAGCTCCAGCCCAAACCTTCCCACCTGCTAGTCCTCTTAGTCTCAAGCGTGGTCGTTTAAGTTTTTGGCGAGGTACGGCTAACCTTGTATGATGATAGATTATACTATGTAAGTATGTAGAATAGCTGACGTTGCTAGCGGATCGTATGTATTAAGCTCCACCTTGTTGACCCGTTGGCTCCTTGTCGTAGGATTGCCTATTCAGGCAATCCGAAGCATCTATACCATAGCTTCTAGGAAGTCCATCCGGTGATTTGATAATTTGATTCATCAGCAAAATTTCTTTGTTCACCAGCGAGGCACGTGGGGTACGATGCTGGGTTCGCAAAGCCTCCGAGAAGCCAAAAGTTCCATCATGAGGTCTGTTAACTAGCCTTGCATTGTCACCGAGAACCCATATTCGTACGTAGTAAGATGGCCGTCGGTCTTTGGTTACATATCGGATTTCCGAACCTTCACCGGTCCCCTCACCCCAGCCAGCCTGGTTAAGGCCGATTTTAGGTATGATGGTACAATATATATGTTATTGCGTCTGTGGAGAAGACTATACTTAGCTCTAGAACTGTCGAACCCTCGTCCAAGGTCCCAAGGCTCCAAGTTCTCGGCCCCTCCCTCTATCCTAGGGGGGAGCGGAGCCCCCTCATCACCTGTTATTCTCTAATTGCCTCACCGTTAGTTCCAGGAGCTATGCCTGCGGCTTTGTTTCCTAGAAGACAAGGGAAAGAGGGGCCTAGACTTGGGTATTGTGAACACCTTGGCGTAACTGGCACTCTCGGTTCACGATAGCTCCCGGGACAGGGGACTAAAGCTTTGCCTATATATGACGTCCGTTGGGAGCTTGCCCTCCGTCAAGATGGAACCGACACATCGCCTATACTGCACTATTGTGCTATCGTGGACCGGTCCCTCCTTGTTCGTGCTCCCGGACAACCGTGTCATTTCCCACCCCACGCCCTCCTAGCCCAGCAGATCGCTATCTTTCTCAAATAAGGCACACGTTGGCCCGCATAATCAGGGCAGAGGTCTTGGTTGAACTGGGTCACTCAGAACATATACATACGGAGACGTCTCGGGCCCTCCATACCAAGCGTCCTCCATAAACCAGACCAACTCACAATGTCGAACCTTGCACAAAGAATATCTCGAGCTGCCCCTTCAGTGGGAAGACTCGCCCGCGCCACGCCGCGTGTGGCACCGTCATGCAATATTACAGCCAGAGCAGCAGGAATAGCAACCTGCAAGTTACCTACTCGCCAGGAGCCGACACGGCGGTCTTTTCACAACACTACAGCCAACGCTACCAAGACCGAAGTGACTCGGAGCAGCCCTCCAGGGATATTACCCGAGTTCAGCTTAAAAGACAAGGTCATCGTCGTCTCCGGCGGAGCACAAGGACTAGGCCTCGTACAGGCAGAAGCTCTCCTGGAAGCAGGAGCCAAAGGTACGACGAATGAGATAATATCCTCGAGGGAGAGAGAAACAAAATACTAACTATGATGGACAATAGTGCACGTCTTCGACAGACAACCTCGACCTGGCGCTAGCTCGTCTTTTGAAAAAGTAGCACGCCGAGCCAAGGAGGAACTGGGCACCTCGATAAGCTATCACCAAGTCGACGTTCTGGAGGCAGCCGACAAGCTTCACAAGATCACCAAAGATATCGCCGCCAAGGAGGGACATATCGACGGGTTGATCGCGGCTGCTGGCATCCAGCAGGAGACTCCAGCCTTAGATTACACTGCCGAGGACTCGAACCGCATGTTAGGAGTCAACGTTACGGGTGTACTCATGACAGCGCAGGCCGTGGCAAAGCACATGTACCAGAACGACACACCCGGAAGCATCGTCCTGATCGCCAGCATGAGCGGCACCGTGGCAAACCGCGGTCTGATCTGCCCGTAGGTCCCACCCCTCTCCTCCCCGGACATCTATACCAGACACCTGTAAGTGATCACTAGCGAGCTAACCCCCCGTCCCAGTGTATACAACGCCTCCAAGGCCGCCGTCCTCCAACTAGGCCGCAACCTAGCGATGGAATGGGGCGTCAAGAACATCCGCGTGAACACCATCTCGCCGGGCTACATCGTGACGGAGATGGTGCAGAAGCTATTTGAGAAATTCCCCGACCGCGCGGTCGAGTGGCCCAAGCAGAACATGCTGAACAAGCTTAGCAAGCCCGAGGACTACCGCGGCGCGGCTATCTTCCTGCTTAGCGACGCTAGCCGCTTCATGACTGGTGCGGATCTGCGTATTGATGGTGGACATGCTGCTTGGTAGAGCATGAGTGTTGGAGGGGAGTAGACTTGCTAGTGGGATATATATAGCTTCTGTAGCTAGCTGGCTACCTAGAATCAGTAGGATAGGATGGCTGTCTGCGGGGGACAACAGTCCCTGCGCCGGAGGAGCGTGACGATAACGACTTGACATGGGGTGTATTATCGAATGTACAAGGCGATGCGATAGACGGCGCTTTTACATAGGCTCGAATGCATAATACACTATACACCAAACAATAATCCACCCGTGGGCCCTCGTAAAGCTGCCATGCAACAAACTTGATTCGTTCGTTTCTCATATTTCCTTCGCCAGGCGTATGTATTTATCCCCATATATATCCCTAAGTCAAAGGCAACGTAACCCCTCTCGGCCCCAACCTCTCCACAACACCGCTCTTAAGCCTTAACCTCCTCTCGATATCAGCAGCCGGCGTCCCTCGCTCCCGCAGCGCGAGCGCTTGCTTCAGCGTGCCCACGTCCAGAAACTCCCGCCCCCGGCGAACGTCCTCGAACTCGAGCGTCGCGCGCTCCTCCAGCCGCTGCCGCGCGGAGAGGGCGCTGAGCGTCGGGTTCTGCGCCGGCGAGGGGTATATGTGGCTCCGCGGCCCTTGGTCCGGGGCGCCGGGGCGAGGCGACGCCGTGGACGAGTGGGAGAGCGTCGGGTTGGGCGTTGCGACGCCCATCTGTCTTAGCCGTTGCGAGAAAGCGGCGTCTGTGAACGGGTTCGGGTCTGGGTTTGGGTTTACGCTGTCTGCTTTGATTGCTGGGCGCGGGGCGGTAAGTTAGCTAGGTAGGGTGAAGCGCGCCGAGTGGGATGTTGTGGTGTAGAGTAAGTAGGGTGAGTGAGTGAAGTGAGTAAGTGCTCACCGTCATCTTTTGTAAACGACGCTCGCGGCTCGGGGGTCCGTTGCGCTGCCGGACGGGAGCGGGCGTGTGGTGGAGGAGCGGCGCTGCCGGGTGCTCTCGTGGGGAATTTGCGCGTCGCCGATTGGGCGGGTTTTGATGCTTTTGCTCCCATTGCAGTTATTGTACCCCCCTTATGTAAATTGGCGTTTGGATGGGGATGATACTGAGATAATCTTGAAGTTTTGGTAAAATTTCAAAATGACGTTGCGATTGCGATTGCGATTACGCCCGCGCTGCTGTCGGAGCTTCTGTCGGTTACATAATGAGGTACCTAAGTACATGTAGCTTAAAGGGAGCTTGGGCCAACAGTCTGACAATCTTAGGTACCTACCTAGGTACATGGTACGATATTGGTCTTGTTGAATGTTGAACTCAATAGCATGATTTCTCTCTTACATCCTCTTTATTTATTTCAAGTCTTTAGAGAACGATCGTGAACAACGTTAGAAGATTAAAACGCCATACTTTTATAGCCTCGTTCTTATAAATTTGCAATACTCCCCTAGTTATAAACTTGCAAAGTTGTTAGTTTCTCCAGGTGATCGTCTTCGTTCTAACCCATTCTTCCACCCCAGTCAGGGCGTTGAATCGTCCGTATCCGCTCTCCTTGCTTCCTCCATGCGGCAATGCCGTCTCGTCGTGAATTGTCATATTATTAATATGAACCGCCCCGGTCTCTATGCCTCGTGCAAACCGCAGGCCAACCTTTAGATCCTCGGTGAAGACGGCGGATGCGAGGCCATACTCAGTATCGTTGGCTATTCGCAGCGCCTCTTCTTCGGTCTCAACTTCAATAAGGCTTACTGTTGGACCAAACGATTCTTGCTTGTACAAGTCCATGTCGGGTGTCACCTCGCTGGCAACTATTGGTCTCAATCTCGTCTTTGAGCTCTCTGCGGCATCCACATCTCCGTTGAGGAGAACGGCGCCCTTACTAACTGCATCTTTTAAGAGATTCTTGTTCTTATCAACACCTCGAGCGTTGATTAAGACCAAGGCATCACCTTTTGATGGGAAGATGTTTTCTATGGTTGCGACCAACTTCTCCTTGAATGCTCCGCTGATCTTCTTATGCACGATTATTCTCTCCGTGCTCATACAGACTTGCCCGGAGAAGAAGAATGCGCCTAGGGTGCATTGCTCTGCAGCAATGTCTAAGTTGGCATCTTCCCACACGATAGCTGGTGCCTTGCCGCCAAGTTCTAGGACGAGAGGTTTTAGGTGCTGACCCGCAATCTTTGCGATGATCTTCCCCACCGCCGTGCTTCCGGTGAAGTTGATCTTTTTGACATGTGGGTTTGCGATCAGAGACTCCGTAACGGATGGCGCGTGGGCCGGATCGGTTACTATGTAGTTCACTACTCCTTTAGGTAGGCCGGCCTCACCGAGAATAGACAGGATAGCGTGATGAGTACGTGGCGCCAATTCGGATCCCTTGAAAACAACTGTACAACCAGCCGCAATCGGGAAGAGCACCGAGCGGGTGCCTAAGATATACGGTGCGTTCCTTTGCAATGGTGAGCTTAGGTTCTGCTATTTGACTGAGGGATATTTACCAAGGAGCCATTGCTAACACAACACCGTACGGTTCCTTCACGACCAGAGCTGTGATACCCGGCACACACGCGGGAATGGTGCCTTCTACAGCAGCCGCCCGTCCCGCTACATCCTTGAACATATCAATGGTGAGGTTGATATTGAAGTCGGCCCAGCTGCGTGCCGCCCCAACTTCGTCGATCATATACGTGGCTAGTTCCTCCTTCCTCTTGCTCATGATTTCAGCCGCTCTGAGAAAAATATCTCGGCGCTCAGCTACGGGCGTATTTCGCCATTGCTGACCAGCAGCGGCGGCGGCCTCGACAGCTGTAAGAGCTTCGGCCTCTGTTGCTATACTGCATTTATGCAAGACCTTGCCGGTGCTAGGTGATGTCACGTCAAAGGTCTTCTCGACGAGGCGTTCCTCGCCGTCAATAACGAACGGTACCGTGTACGTTGACATGTTTGCGGAGACTCGATGAATATTCAACCAGAGATGTAAGCGGCGTTGTGCCGATTTATTAATTCTTAAATCACCAGCAATGCCCCTTTCGGGTATACTATGACATTAGTGATGAGATAAGTGACTCTGGTAGGTAGCACACCGAATATGAGATTACTCAAAACCGGACAGACCTGTGGAGAGCGAGATAGCTGAGATGTTTTGTGCGTAACGGCGGTGCGTCATCTCCGACAACTTACACTCTTGAGGCTCGGTCTTAATATACGAAAACTCACCTCTAATACCGAAATTCATGCCCCTCATTTCCCCTATGTAGGTACACCCTAGTAATACTTGGCTACCTGAGTTCGCTTCCAGCTGACCCCACCTTGGTCGCATATCTCGTTCCTAGTGTAAGTCTTTCGTAATTCGTTACACGAGGTCAGTATCTTCAGCCGGGAGATGGTGATAGATCATATACGCCTTTTCGGTATCTATCTAGATCAGGAATATTCCGGACTATGTGATAGAGTACCAATTTTCGAATCATAGCTTACGCGCCTAGGTCACACTATTCAAGCCCGTAGGCTTGTACTAGTATATTTGCAGCATCTCTAGGCTTTACGCAACTATAACAGGAGCCGGCCCCCATTGCCATCGTAGTTGAAAACCTGTAGAACTGGGATGGTGGTGCGGACTAGATCGTTGTGTTCTCGCCAGTTGTGTTCTGTTGCCATTGGGATTGAGACATCTAACGACTTCCACATCATTGGCGAAACAATGGTTTATGAAACTATGACGGGAACACTGGCCAAGCTGTTACTATTTCTATAATGTAGGACTTTGATGATGTGCATGTTATTCAAGTGCGATATTTCTACCGCTATAGTTAAGTGCCTTAATAAAACTCGTCGTATAACCATCATTCTCAGACGTAATAAGTCATAAAATTGGTTAGGACTTAGTTAATGTCTATTGAAACACTTTAGCTTACAGCGCAGCCCTTATTCAGGAGTACCTCTTACTCAGTTTCATTTCATTCAGTTAGAGACTTGATGTCTTTGAAGTTACATTAGAAACGGCTCTTCAGAGTGGATGGGCCTCTCTAACCATATGACTCGGTGATAAATGCTATACCAACTTAATATAATATAGTTTTCATGAATTGCGGGATTGGCCGGGAATAGAGAAAAATAGCTTGGAGATTTTACTACAGGAGGTGAACTACTCCTATAGCTACATCGCTATAAAGTTGTATTGAGCAAAATCGAGTAGAGACGCACCCTATGAGTCAATAATCGTTGGTAGTATCGAAAAGTACTAAACCTCTAATCTGTCTACTGTCTCGGGGTGTCGTCTATGTGAAGTCATGCCTTATGCTTCGCTGACAAATTGGACCCTCGCAACTCTCTGTCCTTCTTGTTCGTATATAGCAACCGGACGTCGCTTCGCGCCTATGTTATAACCCAAGACCTCGGATGCGCCGCGAACGCCAATCTATAACAAATCGTACCGTCGGGTATCTCTGTGGAATGCCGCTCCGAACCAACGTCGGGGGCCTAGCTAATTGGTCCCGGTACGTCCGACCTTCAGGCTGACTCCGAAACTAGCTGCCCTCGACGGACTGCGCGAGGATTGGACAGACATATCTCCATGAGATCTTTGAATTTCCGTCGTCCGCAACCCTATATCACCGAGAACCGTATATGTCCCTCCGTTCGAGTATCGATCGGCTCTGTACCTGGCTTGAAAACTCCTCAACCTCCATCTTGACAATGTGCTCTCCGGGAACGACGACCAGGCCTAGGTACCGCGACGTCATGTCTAGCGCTACCTTGTCCGCGCCGGATGCGGAGCTCGCGGCTTTGGCTTCGGCTAGTTTTTGCTGCGAAGGCTCGCGGTATTCGTAGGTGAGCGATAGGACTATGTTGCTATGCTAGGGAGGTAAGACACATGTCTTAGCAGGGCATGGTTGAGGTATGGTAATGTAGAGGGTGGTGACGAACCGTGTCTGTGCACTTGAAGTTCCCTATAAAGATTCGTCCGTCTGTTGTGTAGATGCGCAAGTTCTTATTAAGTAGCGACTTGAGGAATGCTTCGGCTTCTGCCGGTTCCATATCGTTTTCCATCCTCTTATAGTATATATAAGTACCTAAAACAAGTAGTCCTAGGATATCCTAAGGTGGTATTGGATTAAATGTTACTCGGCGTCTCATTATACGCGACGAAAGCGTGTTTTTGTGCTAAAGGGAAGAGCTGCGAAGAGGGGCAAGATACTGTATTATAGGGCTTATCGATAGGGAGCTGCACCTTTAATCCTTCTGCCCTTACAACTCGTAGCTGCCGCCACTTTAAACCTGACAAGGGCCCCCCTGTAAGTCGAGCTCCAGACGCGATTACCAGGTACTTATTGTCGCGGTGCGGCGTCGAGTCATCGTCATCCATCATTTCTATCTTCTATTTCTATCTTCTTATGATAACTCCAGGCAACAACAACAACCTCTTTTATCTTGTCATTTTGAACTCGATCTACACCGCTTAGATGGATACCGATAACTATGTGGTCTCAATTCTATTATATATGAAGGCTTCACTTCATTTCTATAACGTCAAATAAATTACCTTCACTGATCGTGTAAGTCCCACGCCAACATGGGTGTGAACGGGCTCTGGACCGTGGTGCAGCCTTGTGCCCGTCCAACCAATCTCGCCACCCTGAATCGTAAACGACTCGCTGTCGATGCATCTATCTGGATATACCAATTTCTCAAGGCCGTTCGCGATAAGGAAGGAAATGCTCTGCGCAACTCGCACGTCGTCGGCTTCTTCCGCCGCATATGCAAACTACTATGGTTCGGTATCCAACCCGTCTTCGTATTTGATGGTGGTGCTCCAGCCCTGAAACGCCAGACTATCACGAACCGAAAACGGAGACGGGAGGGTCGAAGAGAGGATGCAGTCCGTACGGCTGGTAAGCTGTTAGCCGTGCAGATGCACCGGATAGCAGAGGAAGAGGACGAGAAACGCCGGAGGAGAGCCGAGCGCGAAGCGGAGGGGAGACCAGACGTAGATGAGCCTTCTGAAGAACTTCCTGATGCAGATCAACTAGTTTATGTGGACGAGCTGGGAATGAGCCAAGCCGAACGGCAGAAGAGTAGGAAGTTCTACAAGCAAGATGCCTATCACTTACCGGAATTAGACGGAGGTATTGAGGGCATGGGTCGACCGGAAGATCCTCGCATTATGAGCATAGAAGAGTTGGAGGAGTACGCAAGGCAATTCAACAGTGGCGAGGATATCAACATCTACGACTTCAGCAAGATCGACTTCGAAGGCGAGTTCTTCAAGAGTCTACCGCCCGTTGATAGATATAATATTCTTAACGCAGCGAGAATACGAAGCCGATTGAGGATGGGTTTGAGCAAAGAGCAGTTGGATGGCATGTTCCCTGACAGAATGGCATTTTCTCGCTTTCAGATCGAGAGGGTGCGGGAGAGAAATCATTTAACGCAAAGACTTATGCAGGAAGCCGGAATGACTGGAACTGATCTTACTCTAGCAAAAAATGCACGTATAGCAGGCGAGAAAGATCGTGAATATATACTGGTCAAGAATGAAGGGGCCGAGGGTGGATGGGCCCTTGGTGTCGTTAGCAAAGAGAAAGATCGTGGCGAGATACACAAACCTATTGATGTTGATGCCCTAGATTTTCAGTACCAGGCCAAGGAAGATGACGACGATTGGGAGGATGATGACGATTTCGAAGATGTACCTATTGAAGGTATAAATCGTTTACCAAGAATCGAGCCTGAAGCTAGAGCTGCCTATGACGCCGAGGTGCGAAGACGACAAATATATGAAACCAGATTACAGAATGGTCAGGGAGACACCCCCGCTGATGACGAAGATGAATCCCTATTTGTTGGAGGAGACGTTGTAGATAGCGTTAATGATCTCTTTGAGCCTCGAAACGAGGAGGATATCCTTATTAACGATGAGGATGAGGACCTTAGCCGAGCTATCGCCTTGTCTCTGAAGAACCAGCATGGAGTAACCTCATCAGGAGAGGGGGAAGAAGAGGAAGAAGAATTTGAAGATGTTCCTACTCCTAAGTGGACGCAACAAGCTACCGAAGGACCAAAGCCGATTACCTCCGCAAGCGGGAATATGATCGCGCATATTGTAAACAATAGAGCTAATGCGGCGATGTCCAAGCCTGCGCCGACACGACGGGATAGCAACGAGAGTAGTGATAGTGAAGTCGATCTACGAGCTGCTCTATCAAAAAGGAAAAAGAAAGCACCAGTTTTTCAACCCCAATCTGCGCCAGTGGTTCAAAATATAAAGAACCCATTTGATGGGCCCTTGCCGTTCGAGAAACTGGACTGGAAGTCAAGTATTTTCGCAAATAAAGAGAAGGCGACTGCCAAAGTAATCGAGAAGAAGGCTGAAGACGAACCAGCGTCTGATGAGCTCGCAGGTGGTTTCATACGAGACGGCAGTGATGATGCTAATGCTGATGCTGATGCTGATGACAAGGTACAAGAAAGTGAAGCAGCGCGTCCTCTACCACCATGGATGATGCAAGACGAGTCAGATATCCGCGAATCTCTAAAGGCACGACGAGCTATCGAGCATGAAATTAACGAGCAGGATCGAGAAGCTGCGCTCGAAGAGGAAAAACGGTGGCGCAAGGATGCAATTATCGAGATCGAGTCATCGGACGACGAAAGCGATATTCAAATTATCGAAGCACCCCCGTTACCGCATCAAAAGAGCCCTATATATGTGGAGGAGGATCGAGGCACACCACGACTATCTCCTGCTACTTTGACAAGGGTCAATCCTCCCGTTGCTGACGAAGAAGACCAAATTGGAGATACCCGCCGCGCAGATATCGTACAAGAGCAGGCTGCTTCCCAAGTCGAGGCAATTGACGACACAGTATCTAGTCCCAAACCGGCCTCCAAATCAGCTTCACCCGAGCCGGATTTTGAAGAAGTTGAGATTCTACAGCCCCCAGAAGAACCCATCAGCAATGATGTTGCTCCGCAGCCAGCATCTCCTGAGCCTACCTTTGAAGATGTTGATGTGCCTGCGCCGGAAGCTTTTGAATCGCCTGATAGATCGGAACCTGTAGCCGAGGCTGCTAATGACGAAATTTTTGGCGATGCCGAGTTTGACGACAACGAATTTAGCGATCCCGAGGAGGAAGAGTTACTTGCCCAAATGGCTGAAGAAGCCGAAGAGCACGCACGCTTTGCCAGTCAGCTGAACCATAAGTCCGAGAAGGAGAACCAAGAAGCTTATGAGCGAGAACTCAAGGCACTACGAACACAGCAGAAGAAGGACCGAAGAGATGCGGACGAAGTTACTCAGATTATGATTACCGAATGTCAAGCCCTGTTGCGATTTTTTGGTATCCCTTACATTACCGCGCCGATGGAAGCAGAAGCTCAATGTGCCGAGCTGGTTAAACTTGGCTTGGTCGATGGCATAGTGACGGACGATTCGGATACCTTTTTATTTGGTGGTACCCGAGTGTACAAAAACATGTTCAATAGCAATAAGTTCGTGGAATGTTATCTTGGATCTGATCTTGAGAAGGAACTATCGCTCTCCCGCGAACAACTAATATCCTTAGCCCAATTACTCGGTTCTGATTATACGGAGGGTCTTCCAGGAGTTGGACCCGTGACCGCCGTCGAGATACTTTCCGAGTTTCCCGGTAAAGACGGACTCACAAAGTTCCGAGAGTGGTGGCAGGACGTCCAGATCAACAATCGACCAAAGGAAGCAGATCAATCATCAGCGTTCAGAAGGAAATTCCGCAAATCCCAGGCTACGAAGCTGTTCCTACCTCCCGGTTTCCCCAATTTAGCCGTGTACGATGCTTACCTACACCCAGAGGTTGACAGTACCCCAGACCCGTTCCAATGGGGTGTGCCTGATGTTGCGGGCCTACGAAAATTCCTAATGAGCACAATTGGATGGAGCGAGGAACGAACAGACGAAGTCCTCGTCCCGGTGATCAGGGACATGAACCGACGAGAGGCCGAAGGTACACAGAGTAACATCACGAGGTACTTTGAGGGCACCGTCGGTGTCGGGGCAAAAGAAGCATTTGCCCCGAGGCAAAGGGTCCAGGGGAGCAAGCGCATGGCTCAAGCGGTTAACAAGCTGCGCGCAAACACCGTGGTTGGGGGCATTTCTACCTCTGCTGCGGTAGAAGCGGAAGCGGAAGCAGAGGACGAAAGTCTTGCGCCGCCCCCACAAAAATCCGCGCGGAGGAAGAGGAAGGCCAGGAATGCGATTACGATTGATGATGACGACGACGATGATGAATACGCCGATGGAGGCGAGGGCAGTGGGGATAGAGATAATGGCGTTAGGAAAACTGCTAGTAGGCAAAAGGGTAGAGGCGCCAAAAGGGGGAAGAGAACTAAGGCGTCTGCGTAGATTAGTTATCTCTTTCTCTAGCAAGACCGCACCACTGTAGAATTGTGTAATCTTAGAGGGCTCAGGCTTTGTATACTACTTGATATCTTGCGAGATGAGAAATTTAGATGTTTACCTAAATATAAAGTCTTGAAATCAATTATGCTACATAAAAATAATATAAATTGTTAGATATTATTATTCTCTTAGTCATAGGTAGGACCAGCCAAAGGTTTTCGGGATTTGGTAGTGTGTCGCGGATGGAAAGTGAAAAACAAGAAAAAAAAATTTTCTATAAATGTCGACGGACCTAGTTGAAGTTATTGTCGCATTTGGTAATTCCATGTGGAAGACATGGCAAAAAGTTGATCAACGCAGGGATCGAACCTGCGACCTTCTGTGTCCTCACAATACACTATACAGTGAAATTGTAAGACAGACGTGATGACCACTACACCAGTTGACCATGAGCTGTGATTTGCGAGAAACCACAACCTCGGATGAGAATTCGGCGCTTTACATGACATTATATTGGTCTGTTTGTTAGCGGGAGGATCTATGTGGAATTAGTGCGTTACAAGCCCAACAGTGTGGAACCCGGCGCTAGGTTAGAGCCTTTATGTTAGACCTGGCGGCTTACATTAAGTACATTACACTAGGTACCTACCTAAGCTACATGTACCTATAGTAATCCGTAACAGGTAGACAATAAGCAGTATATTACTTGGCTAACCTATAGCAACATGGCTGCACCCATAGTGTAAGATCTATGGGTTTGCTTCTTTTGACCTGACGACGGCTATACTGTCATATTGTATCTCCGAGAGATGGGATATGGATGTAAGTATTTTTATAATGTACAAAAAGCAAACGGGTCATCAAACATCAAAGTGAGACTTTGTCTAAGGCAGCTGGGTAGATTTTCAGGCAACTCAGAGCTGCCTGAAGAGATAAATTACTTTCTACTATATCTCTGAACATACGGGCTGATTGCAATTGCTCTATAAAATAATGCTTCAGGACCAGGTTTGCTCTTTCCTCTTCTATATGTAGAATCATACACGAAGAGTACAGTTAGTTATTCTTATCGATAACTACGGTTGGCAATTACATGCGTGCAAACTCCAACTTCAACCTTGGATTCAACCTTAAAATTTAGCTCACGAAATTGTTCCACTTCTACTTAAATTCAGTAAGATAATAAAAAGAAAAAACACAATGCGAGCCACGGCTACCAGAACATTGCTACGACAAAGCCGAGCTCGTCCTGAGCTTGGGAGAGTGTCAGTCTTCCCAATTGACTCAATTCGAAAACAGCCATATATACTTAACGTACTGACACTCTCCAAACCAGCCACGACATAATCCGCCCACGCTGCGTCTTAGACACCACTACCACCACCACCACCCCGCTATCCCTTCGCCCATGCATCCTTCTCCTACCCCAACACCCCGCGGGTAGCGGGAACCTCCGTGCCCTACACACGACCTCACCCGTGTGGAAGAGCAAAGCGCCCAAAGACAAGACGCGCGAAGACCACAAGAAGCAAGCGTCCGCCCCCCGCGGGAGCAGCAGCAGCAGCAGCAGCAGCGGGGACGCCGAAGCCGACGACCCCAACGGGCCCAAGCACCCGCCCGCCAACCCCGAAGAACCGCTCAACTTCGCGGACGTGGAGTCGCGCATCCGCCGCTCCGACGAGCACCACCGGGAGCTGCTCAAGAAACTCCGGGTGGGCGGGCGCTTCAACCCGGACGTGGTGGGGGCGCTGCGCGTGCAGCCGGACCGCAAGGACCCGAGCGTGACGTACCCGCTGCGCGAGGTCGCGCAGGTGATATCGCGGGGCGGGCGGACCATCAGCCTGATCGCGCACGAGGCCGCGTACGTCAAGCCCATCATGAGCGCGGTCCAGGCCAGCGCCGACTTCAACCAGCAGCCGCAGCGGGACCCGGACAACGAGCTCGAGCTGATCCTGAAGATCGAGCCCGAGACGCGCGACGACCTGCTCCGGCGCGCGAAGGCCGTGTGCAACGACTGGAGGGACAGGGTTAGGAGCGTCAGGCAGAAGCGCGACAAGCAGCATGTCACGTGGCGCAAGAACAACGAGATCGGTCCCGATCTCAAGAGGACGGCGGATAAGGAGCTGGACAAGATTATTAAGGCTAAGATGGTGGAGATTGACGATTTGGAGAAGGATACGCTTAAGAGTCTGCCTGTTTAAGGGGGGGTCATTGTTGACCTGGAGTAGATAGGGGAGAGAGAAAAAAAGGGGGGGCTATACGACCCGGCTTGATCGGTAGAGGTATGCATAGTCGTATAGCACAGATGTATTATAGACTACCTGCTATTGTTACATGCGTCGCGTGGTAACGGTACATTTTATGCTCGGAGCCCGAATCTAAAGACCTTGAATCATACATACATGCATCCGAATTCCTAATTTCCCACCGGAACAGCGTAGAGGGAAATGCTAAATGCTAGGTGAATCAAGCCTTGGCCTCTGGCTTCGCAGCACCACTACCAGCCGGCTGTCCACCAGACTGTCCCAGCAGACTCCGAACCTTGGCCTCAATACTCCTCTGCGCGTGCGCATTCCACGTGCCATCTCTCCGGACGTAGCTGCGCAACGTACCAATCGTGTCCTCGGGATCCGCATACTTGGGCCCCTCGCCATACCTGCCCAGCAGCGCGTCCTCCAGCACCGCCGTCTTGACCTCGGCCGGGGCCTCGAACGGCCTGTCCTTGAGGACCTGCTTCTTCCACAGGCGCGCCTCGCGCGACGGCGGCACGAAGGCGCCGTTGCCGTCCCGCCACGCCAGGTGCAGCGACAGCGGCTGCTCTAGGTGCTGCGGGTGGAAGGCCTGGCCGCCGCCCAGGATGCGCGCTTGCCGCAGCACCGTCTCGCCTTGGCCGAAGGGCGAAGAGGACGTGGCTACCGCGGGGCCCCAGCCGGCGAGCGAGGCGAGAGAGAGGCTGGGGTTGAAGGCCATGGTCTTGCCGGTTTCTTTGCCTTCGAGGTACGCTTTGACGGCGGGGGTGTCTATCTCTTCGTCTTTCGCCTGTTGCTCTTCCTGTCGCTTGACGCCTCTCTCGTCGTCGTCGCTTTTTTGTCGACGGGATCCGCGTGCTCGGCGTGCTCGTTGTGGTCGGTCGTCTGGGCGTCGGTTTCCACCACCTCGTGGAGGCCCGAATCGTGGGGATCCGCCGCCCGGACCTCCCTGTCGTGGTGGCCCAAACCGTGGAGACCCGCCGCCGGACGGGAAGCTGCCGCCTCCGCCGCGACCGCGGAAACCGCCTCGTATGATATTCGGACCGCCATTTGCACCGAGTCGAAGTGGCATGCCGGCGGGGGCACCGGTCCTCCCTATGCTGTTAAAGCCGCCGCGAGACGGCAAGCTATCGGTCCTAATAATATTCGGCCCGCCAGACGGAGTCCTCGTTATACCGTTGAAGCCGCGGGGTATATTCTTCAAGGTGATAATATTGGGGCCCTGGCTTCGGGCAGGAGGCGGGGGATTCGCTGTTGTTGTTGCTGTTGTTGTTGTAGTATTCTGGGCTGGCCTCGATGCGCCAAAATTAATACCGCTATCGACCGTCGCGATGAGCTCGTTTACGGCGGCTATGGAACGCTGTCGGCTGGAATGTCGCTGCGAGTAATCGTCATCGTTATCATCTTCGGCGCTGCTCCGGCGCGCGGAGACGGAGAATTGCCGCAGGGAGGCGGCGATGCCGTCGGCGACTCGGTTCAGGTCTGGCCTGGCGCGGCCGACTGCCGAGTTTAGCGGATGCCGGATCATGGCGGGCCCAATTGCATGCAGTGTGATGTTGGAAGCCCGGGCAGTTTGATTTCGAGGTTATCTTGAAATTTTCGAGATTTAGATTTATTTACGTACCCAAGATTCTCCGAGGCTTTGGCGGCGCTATGTAGGTACCTATGTTATTGGTTAATGCGTTTAAGCGGGGGGCTGAGGTGGGATATGATTATATGCGATGCCCATACCCACTTTCATCTTCTTTTTCTTAATACAAACAGCCAGAGGAGGCTTCGTGTTAGCTTCACATTATCGATAGAACCTGTCTCTAACTATACGACTCGATTTAATAAAATATCATCCGGTAAAGACCTGGAATTTCCTTTTTCTAACCGTCAATGCTAGTATTATAGATTACATCGTAATAGACATTCAACTCTGCAGCGGCTTATTCATGCCTCCCCACGTTATCGTCTTGATGTTCAAGTACTCGTCAATGCCATACTTAGATCCTTCCCTGCCGAACCCGGATTGCTTCACGCCGCCAAACGGCGAAGCAGTATCTGAAATTAGACCTGTGTTGATGCCCACCATTCCTACTTCCAGCGCTTCGGCCACCCTTGTGATGCGCTCCAGGTCCCGCGAGAAGAAATAGCCTGCTAAACCGACCTCGGCAGAGTTTGCTAGATCTACTACTTCTTGCTCCGTGGCGAATGGGAATAATCCGGCCACGGGTCCAAAGGTCTCCTCGCCTGCGATAGCCATGTCCTTGGTCATTCCCGTGATGACGGTAGGTTGGTAGAAATTAGCTCCCAGGTCCGGCAGTTTCTGTCCGCCAACAACCACCTTACCTCCCTTCTTCTCGGCATCTTTAACGTGAGCCTCTACTTTCGACATAGCTCGATCGTGGATCAGAGGTCCGTGGGTGATACCCTCGTCAAATCCATTGCCAACCTTGAATTCCTTGACCTTCTCCGCAAACTTCTTTGCAAACTCATCGTAGATACCCTTTTGGACGTATATCCTGTTGGCGCACACGCAAGTTTGGCCGGACGAGCGGAATTTGGAAGCGATAGCACCTGCGACAGCCGCGTCGACGTCGGCATCGTCAAACACGATGAATGGTGCGTTACCTCCTAGTTCCAGAGACAGGACCTTCAAGGTTGGAGAAGCCTGCTTCATGAGGAGCCTTCCTACGGCCGTCGATCCTGTAAAAGATATCTTCCGTACGGTAGGATGAGTCGCTAGCGTCTCTCCGACCTCGGGTGTATGCTTCAAGCTTGTCACGAAGTTAACAACGCCTTTCGGGATCCCAGCTCTGTGTGCTAACTCGGCCAAAGCGAGGGCGGTAAACGGGGTCTCGCCGGGCGCCTTAACGACCACCGTGCAGCCAGCCGCCAGAGCAGGGCCGAGTTTGCGAGTGACCATGGCAGCAGGGAAGTTCCATGGCGTAATTAAACCGCAAACACCGACGGGCTGCTTGATGGTCACAACTCTGTTTCCTGGTACGGTAGCCGGTATCGAATCGCCGTATATTCTGGGCGCCTCCTCACTGAACCACTCGAAAAAACTAGCAGCGTAGGCAACCTCGCCCTTCGCATCCGCAAATGGCTTTCCGTTCTCCCACGTGATGAGTTTTGCGAGGTCGTCAGAGTTTTCTACTACCAGATCGTACCACTTGCGGAGTAACCTAGCCTTCTCACGGCCGGTCTTCGTCCGGAAACTAGGGAACGCCGCCGCAGCAGCAGCGATGGCATTCTCGGTGTCTTTGCCAGTAAACTCGGGGGAGGTGCCAATAAGATCTCCCGTGGCTGGGTCGTAGACCTCAAAGGTTTTACCCGACGCTGCCTTGATCCATTCCCCGTTTACATAACAGACATCGGTCTTGAAGAGGGAGGGATCGTTGAGCTAGAGCATAATTAATCAATACAGATATTCATAAACAGCCAATCGTTATTTGCCGCCCAGGCTTACCTTTGGTGCTCTACTGGAAGCCAACCGCGTCATTATGAGTGGAAGGTTTGTTCTTTGAAAGCTCGACCTCACAGTAAATCGCGATTGAGACGTTACGCTCCTCTGTAAGCTCCTTATGAAACTCATCGTGAGAGGAGGAGGTATGTGAATTATGTACTTGGAGGACGAGCGATATTAGTTGATTAAATAAATCCCAAGCTAGCGCAGAGAGACTACCTAGAGAATAATGTAATCAGGGTATCATAACCCAATAGTCCCGATATTTACGCTTTATTCATTAAAATGATTCTAAATTCGATAGATTTGAGACGCTCAAAGTGACGTCGGCTTGATAACACTGACGACATCGGCGTCTTAGAGGGGCACTAATCCCTGAGGGAGCTCATTGTGGGGTATTCTCGCCGTACTAAAGACTATATCAATAGTTAATAGTCCTATTTAAGAAGGTCCATCCGAGTTTATAGAAATCTTATTAGTTATCGGCTTTTCAACTTACACAATAGCTTATATAATTATCTTAACAGTCCTCGGTTAGAAGAATGTTAAGCCAAATCACAATAATATGTATCTCTTATCTCTTATGTAGAACGAACGCCGTTGTTTCTTACGAGACGAGAGAAAAGCTGGAGCAGAGCAACAAGCTTTTGGGTATCCCTCGGTACCTATGCAACCCATGCATCTCCCCGCATCTCTTACATGATGCACCCCGAGTAGAGATCATCTCCAAGTCGAGGTTTTCACCTCTCAATAAGGTAACAATTGAGAGAACCAGTAGAGAACCAGTGCCCGTTCGTGGATGGTGCCGGTAGGGATATTCCGCCAGTCTGCTGGCAGCTCGGGGTTTGGGGTTTGGGGTTTGTCATTGGCTTGACTGCAACTCGTTCGTATATTCTACCGATGATACAATTTCGTCGTATCTTCATCGTATAAGTGAGGAGAGGAAATTGCTTTCCATTTAATAGGATATTCGGTCCTCGTGATTGGCCTTCGAAGGGCTCCTTTAGTGAATTAGTCACTTAGAAGCTATACAAATAGTTTCTATAGTTATATATTACATATAACTAACTGGGCTTATACTTAGGTACGTTAGGCGTGAAGAAATATCCCCGAGTTCCATCTATTAATCTAAAATATTTGAACATCTCGGAAAACCTATAAAGGTTAGCAATAGATATATGTTATTGGCACAGACTAGTCTAGCCATGGCGGAACACACGATATCTACCTTCGGGAATATAGCGACTTCTATAAATGCCATTCAACCCCTAGATGGCTTTATAAGCTATTCGATCGAGTTCTCGTCGTTTCCTGATTTTGCCGGTAAGAACTTCCATCCATACAGCGACCAACCTATCAATGATCCCGAATCTAAGACATAGGACAGGCAACAAGTCCAACCCCAACGACTTCTCAAACAACTTACTGGATAACATCGGTGCATTTTCCGGAATAAAGCCGTATATACGGGTTGGCGGAAACACGCAAGACTTTGCTATATATAACTCCGAGCTAACTATTGGACTCAACGGCACTTATAACCTTTCGAGGTCCCCGGACTACCCGACTACCATCGAGATTGGGCCATCGTACTTTGAATCGTACAGCACATGGCCCAATGTCAAATTTTCACATGGCTTCAACCTGGGCGGGAACCACGACGACAGGCAGTGGGAGACGCTCCTCGAAACTGTGCCGCTGGCTTGTAGAGCCCTAGGCAAGGATAAACTATACTTGTGGGAGTACGGAAACGAGCCTGATCTCTTTGTCCCGGCTGTTAGGGCATCTGGTTATAACGAGTCGGACTACGTAGCAGAGTGGCTAAATGGCACGAGAGCCATTAGGAGTGTGCTGGAGACGAGTTGTCCAGACCTCCTTGATAATGACACATACGGATATCTAGCCCCGTCGTTTGCCGGTACTACAAACCATCTAAACGCGCCTCGGACCTGGGCCGACGGCATCGACGCGGACGGCGATATTAAGCTCTTCTCTTCTCACAAGTGCGTACCTACGTTCTCTCTCCAGTGCTCTCATCATATCATATACTCACATTTCAAATAGCTACGTATCCGGAGCCGAGACGCCAGGCGTTACGCTTCAGAACACACTGATGAACCATACAATCACAACCCTCAGTGTCAGCGCCCACACAGCCGATAACGCAACTATCCAGCCGGGAATCCCGTATATCCTCGGCGAGACTAACTCTCTATACCACCAGGGACGTCCCGGCCTATCGAACTCGTTCGGCGCCGCGCTCTGGGCCGTCGATTTCGCGATCCACTGCGCCGCGGTGGGAATAGGTCGTGTGCACTTCCACATGGGCGTACGTAACATCCACCCACCCATTCATATTCTCTTCTCTCTCTCTTCTCTCTCTCCCTCTCTCTCTCAGCCCCTTTTCTCTTCCCGTTCCCATCTATCTACCTTGCATTGCATTACATTACGTACCTAATTCAATAGAAAACAACTAACACCCCCCATCTCAACCTCAGACCGACTACCGCTACGCCTCCTGGCAACCCATCGCCACCAACAAAACCACCGTCGGCACCAAGCCCCCGTACTACGGCAACATCGCCGCCGCCGCATTCCTCGGCTCCGCCGGAACCCTCGTCGCCCCCGCCCCCCTATCATCCGGCAACAACAACGCCGACGCCGACACCGACGTCGCGTACGCGGCGTACGAGCCCGACGGCGGCGCGCTGGCCCGGATCCTAGTGCTGAACTTGCGCGCGTACAATTACACGCTCAACGGCACGGGGGGCGAGGAACTGAACCCGGTTCCGAGGCCGCTGAGGAGGTATCGGTTCATCACGGGGTTGGGCGCGGGGTTGGAGGAGGCGCTCGTGCGCCGGTTGCGTGCGAATGGCAGCGATGCGGTTACGGGGGTTAGCTGGGATGGCTGGAGTTATGATTACGAGTTGGACCGCGGGAAGCCGGTGAGGCTGGAGAATGTGACTGTTGGGGAGAAGATAGGGGTTGTGGATGGGGCTGTGGAGCTACAGGTTGCGGATTCGGAGGCAGCGGTTGTGGATTTTGGGGGCGGGAGCGGGAGCGGGAGCGGTTGAGATGAGTTAGATGGCGTGTTGGTGGCATGTTGATGGGCGTATATGTTTACGATCCGTGGACTGAAGATGATGATACGTGTCGGTTGGTATATACCTTAGGTATGAGTACCTACCTCTAGGTTAGGTAGTCTAACGAATCATTCGTGAAGGCTCTCCCCCTAAGTAACACGTGCCTTTACATTAAACTATGGTAGCTGTAATGTAGATAATGAATGAGGGATAAATACACGATGCAGGTCGCATATTTTACCCCCGAAACTCATACGAGGAGTATACATTACGCCCATCTCCACATCTACTTCAGAGTACTACCTCCCACCGGGGGGTACGTAACAACACAAGGTAGTAACACTGCAACCGCCTATGGATGAGGTCAGAGGGGGGCACACGACGCGTTTACGATGATCGTTGAATTTTCAGACTACCTAGAAAAGCTCTTGACGTCGATAGAAGAAAAGTCAAGAGATAGATCGCGTAGGATCGTGTATTGTACACTGCCGGGGAAAAGGGGGTTATACAGCCTCCCTTTCTTCCCTTCGTATGGTATCATTCCGCCCCAACCTGGTAAATCTACATCATTTCTCACCCCCAAACATATCTTGGAATTAATTTTCTATGTATAGGGCAAGCCTTAAATACGCCGCCCCGTTTTCAAATTATCGACGGAAGTCGTACGGGTATCTTCTAATAACATCCGCTTCCAGAGCAGGATGAGAAGTCCATCACTTATTCGACGCACGGTTGAATCTATGCCCGTGCCTTTTGAATATTCCTTCCCCCCTAGAACCGGAACACGGTCCTTATGAATACTGACGTCGTAGCGGAATTTTGCTCTCGAGCGTGTTAAAAGCCATCGTTCGCGGCGTATACGGGAGCGTGCCTGTCCTGGGCGTCGGCGGAATACCATGCATCTCCCAATTAGCTCCTCTTTTTAGGGCAGCAGGCGAAGATGTCTCTTCGTCCTCGTCGTCCTTCAGGTCGTTTTTCGGGTTTGGCAGCATGGCCCAAATGTTCATACCCAGATTAATAGCGTAGATACCGCTGTCACGACGGTCAGCCAAATACGGTCTTGGGGGCACGAACAAGCAGAAGCTTATACTTACAGCATGATGCACGCTACGGCGAAAGAACCCTTCGCCAACTTGCAGTAGCCCTGTATAGTCTGATTCGCAGCTACGGTACATGGCTTGGCGATATACCAGGCTATCGGGCTTGGGTGGTCTGGGTCGAGATAGTCTGATCCCGCCTGACCGGCTATACTCGTCGCGTAGAGCGCCAGAAGTGCGATATTGACGGCCAACGCAAGAATTGGGTACCAGACGTGCATAATAAACGCGATGAGCTTTGTGAGGAGGAGGAATAGACTGAGAACGGATATGGCGACGTTGAAATCAGTCAATCTAGATGCGAAGTTAGCCTTCCGATCGGACGGATAGGGTAGATAGAGGCTCGTTGTCACTTACGTTTGCGACCACACGAACGGTATTTTCGGTAACGGCTCGTAGTTGGCGTACGCCCATAGGGTAACGCTAGGGCTCGAATTGAAGCCCAGTTCGCTGCCGGCTTTCCATAACTTAGTCCGGTATAAGTCTGGCTGAGCAAGGGCCGTGACAACCAATGCTCCTACGGTTCCCAACAGCTCTGGAATCATCATATAATACATGCCCCTCGTCGACCTCCATTTTCGATGTAAAAGTTTATAGCCCATAGTGAAAACAGACCGCGCCGCGAAGGGTCTCTTAGCTGCGGCTCTGGGAGAATCCGGTTGGTTCTTTAGAACTGGTGAATGAGGAAAAAAAAACACCGAATCTACACGAGTCGGCTAAATGCGCAGATTTCGCGAAGCTGGGCTGATATCGCGTCGCTGGGAACCAGCAGGCCGGCTAGTATTTTACATCGGAAGGCCTACGATGGCGATTGTGGTTAAGAATTGGACGTGGATCTTGGGCGAAGCGGAGACGATGAAGACTTGCGTCGAAACTCACGAAATAGCTTACGAATATGAGAGGAGTTGGCGGTCGGTCGGCCATTTTTAAGGAAATGGGCGCCAACACCCCCCCAAATGGTGGTCGGGAGGGCGGCTGCAGGTCAATCACAAGTGTGCATGGTGATATGCTTGTACGGGAAATAGAAGCCAATGAGAGAGGTGACAGCAACGTTGAACAGTTGTTAAGCGCCGACTTGTGGTTCGTCGGTGGGCGCTTCGCCCTGGTTCACCTTTGGCCTACGCAGCCTACGATCGTATTACCGCAGCAAGATTGGTGGGATGCTTCAACGACCCCTAGCTACACGAGCCAATGGGTATGCAAGACGCCGGCTGGGCGATGCATCTGATAGCTAGGATTTCTATTGGTTGATGCGGGTTGTGCTTCCTGGCTTCTAGCTAGAGTCTCCCTCTCGGGTCTTGGCAGTAGAAACCCGTTCCGGTTTAATGAATTGGCCCGCCCCCAAAAGCTACAGTTACAGTAGCATAGGGGTCGAATATGTCTACCTATCTTTATCAAGCACTGCGCTGAGCTGTCTATGACAACATACGATCGTCGGCCATTTATATTTGTGAAATAGCCGTCGTATGAAATAGAATAAGGCTTCAAGTATTCGATAGCTGATGAGAGCATAGACACTTGTCCTTAACCGAGATAAATGTTCTTACTAAATAATGATGTTAGGCTAGACGATACAGTTTGCAAGTTTGATAATGAAATCGTGGTTAGGTTATGAACCATCGCAACTATTACCCAATCATTCTTGAATATAAAGTTGAAATATGTAATTCTATGTAATGCGTGAGATTAAATGCTCGAGGGTTCAAAGAAGTGCCAAGTCTTGAAGTTTAACTATACTTAATTCGAACTTGTCTGAATAGTTGATTGGCGCTCCATATATTTGTGGAAGAGAGAATATCACGAACATCGAGGCGAAAAGAAATCCGAATTGTTGTTCTAAGTCGAGTGTATTGATAAAAGGGGACAAAATCATCTCTCACTTTCGTCCTTGAAAGGGTCCGCGAGATGGCTGGTTGATGGCGTTGATAGTTGGATTTTCGGCTACCTTGATTTGGACATTCATATTAATATCTTAGGTAGGTAATCTGATACAGCCGCCTTCGCTTTTTTATTCCAAGCCCAGAAACCTAAGCCTCCACCCCGACAATAATCCGACGGGATGGAGGAATCGGCGATCGGGGCTGATTAGCCAGTAAGCTCGGGATTGAACAATGCCTTCCGAGCTCGTGACTTGTGTAACAGGACCCCATCTCACAAGTCGCCGACTCGCGGTTTTTTTTGTTGCGATTCAGACTGGTCTAGATTTAAAGATCGACGTGATCCGCCAATGCATTGCTCAATACGGGGTCAATTCAGCAAGTTGATGTTTTCATCACCGTCGCCATCAATATCAGGGGAAATCCTCCGTCAATGGGGTATAAGATCTTTTATATAACTTCTCAACGGGATAGCGTGGAGAAGCATCTAAGAGATTGGCGATCTAAATCGAAAAAGTCTCGTTAGTATCAGCATAACGATGCAAGGCAATCTCAGAGAAAAAAAAAAGAACGAGATCAACATATGTAGGGGTTAGGTACGGTACGGACACGAGCACGTGGTGTAAGAAGCACAAGGCTCTATGTACACAGCACACAGCATAGAATTAAAACACACACCTATCGAAGATAAGCAAAAAAAGCAAACCCAAAGGATTGGCGGTCGCTTTGTCACGTTGCCAATACCTACACATTATTGTAATGTTGTAATGGTTGCTAATGTAAGCGAAACCATGGGGCTCTTCTCGGAACAGACCATTATGACATAGACGCACTCTAAAAGTAAGAGTTTACGCGTGGCTAATGGCTACGGGTGCGGTACCTAGCACATGGTATGTAATATCGAAAGCAATATCGGCATTCCGCCCCTCCACACTGGAATATATGAATTGGGGTTAGGATAGAAATATGTACATACATAGCACAAGAAGCTCTTATTACTTAGTAATTGCTGAAACATGTTATAAGTCCTTTTAAATACATATGCAACTAACTACCTAAAGTTAGAGTTTATGATTTACGTCGTTTTGAACCTATTATTTACACTAGATACCAAGCAAGACCTAATGACAAGATTAATCCAAGTACTTAATCTACATACAATTCGGCCTCTTTCCCCATTGCGAAAACCGAGGATCTTGTTTGCCGCATTGATCGGCCATTGCAAGCCATGCCTGCTACGTAGGTAGTACTATTTGGATGTATGTATGTCATGATCTATGTGGGGTAAATGGGGAAATGTATGCTCGTTTATGTATGTATAAGTATACGGCTATACCTGTACAATTGTATACGTAGGCTGCTCGCTTCATATATTACCTATGTAGGTACATGCACATCCGAATAACACTTCCCATACGTGTGGATGTATTGCCATTTATAAAGTAGGTATTTTAGTATAGTGCTTTCCATTAGTGCTTTCCATGTTGAGGCCTTACTTATACCTGTTCTTTTAAACCTGGTTATATAAGGTTTTGTGCCCGAAGGATAGGGCAATTTCGTGTAACACAACATGTAAGAGTTGTGATACCTACATGTAGCCAGAAGTTTCGAGCCTTAATTCGGCTACCTATGTTATCTGTCAGGTTATACAACGTTGAGTTTAGGTGCCGGTAGGATTGATTGGTTCCGAATGGCAACACCTCGGTACTCAGATATACTTACCTTAAGTACATACCTCTAAGTTACCTAGTACACCTACTAAAGCCGTTAGCTTTACAGGTACTTTCCCTAGCTGCATGTACCACTTGACGTAAACATCAATCTTCAAAATCTTTTTTTATCTGTAACTATCCTTTTTACACCCAAGTATAAGCCTACACTGATGTGCGTATTCTGCCTTTGACGATCAAGTCTACTTTTGATTTAGAGACGTACGACATATTACAGTAGAGTACCTAGGTATTATGGCTGCCTGCACGGAATACCTACTCAGCGGTGGCCGAGTTAAGTTTAAGTGATCAACAAGCTTCAGCCCCCTGTCCACTAAGGCAGTCTAAGGGAGATCGTCAGTGATACTTTCCCCAAACCGTCACCCGGACTGCTGGAGTCCCAAGGTCTTTTCGAGGGTCTGGAACGTGAAAATCAATTAGACCCTTGCAATCCCAATTTCTTTCGGATCTGGATTCGACGGTACTTCTCCCACGCGAATGTTTTACCTCAAACCAAAAGACACCGAACAGGACACTCTTAGGACTTCTCTCACCAGACCTTCATACAACCATACAAACCACCATACAACCATACAACCACACGACACACAAAACACGACCGCAGCAAAAAAAAAAAAACGTACCTAAATCGAACAACCCTCATCTACGTTACCTAGTCCGTCCGCCCAAAAAGAAATACAGTTTCCGCGCTACTACCCTACTGTACCAGCAAAAAAAAAACCTATTACGACTTTGCCGCTACTACTACATCTAATATTACCTACGACTAGGTAATACCTACCACCACTTCGCCAGTACATACGGTGTTACTACTCTATAAATCTCGTTAGCTTCGATCCTCACGAAATACTTACTTACGCAGGAGTTAGTGTATCTCTTACCATCCCACTAAAGGCTACTCAACCCTGTCGATAGATCCATCTATATCAGCAGTCCGGTGCATGCACTCGCATGGTACAGGCTCCATAGACGGCCGAGTACCTAAACCACGCATCGCTTCTCCCGCAATTCTGGCCGCCTACCGTGGGCTAGGCTTATACCGCTGGAACGCTTCTTGTCAACTGCTTTTCTTTTTCACTCTTCTCTTGTTATTCTCTCCCCTAACTTGTTTATCATCTTCGTCAACTAGATTTGCGGAGGGGAAGTTCTTGCATTTATTAGGTAGAGGGAATAGGAGTTTGGAATAGGGAGCACTCGTATAGACCACAAGCTTCCTTAACTTCTGGTCTAGAACGCTCCGTTTGAGAAAAAAAAAAATCCGGGATCCTCAATGCTGTATGAGGTCCTACCGGCTCGACTATTCGTATCCACATCCCATACTCGTTGTCGCCACATTCCACTTCTTCCTCCTCCTCCTCTAACGGGTCTATGCCATCAATGGCCACAGCCCGATCCTTCTCCACTTCTCATTTGTTGCTAGTAGGTAGTTCGGGATCGTTCTCGAGTGAGGAGCTTGACGTTGGTGCCGGCGTCTTATTTCTAAACCGGAATATTTCTCTATGACTTTACAAAGTAATTCGGACAAGCCTAATCTCCCAGCCATCCCGGGCACCCATCCGACCTTCGTCTTTGATGACAACAACTGCTCCGAACCAACTTCGTCTGCCGCATCCCATACCTCTCGTCCCTTCGCACGACCGGTGCGGCAACGTCACTGTACGCTCGCTAATGACACCGCTGCCCCTGTAACCCGTATTTTAGAAGAGTATTCGACGGAAATAGGACATTATGGTTTGACACCTACGGTAACCCCTAATCAACACTCGATTTTAGGGGACCCGACAGTGCGGTCGCCAAACGAGCCAAGCGCGAGGTCGAGAATAAATAGGGCAAGCAAGGCAAATACTACCGTAACTCAACAGTCGCACTGTACCACGTCGTCGCGGGGAAAAGGGAAGAGATTATCGGACGTTGAACCTGACGACCCGGAAACAAGCCGGCGTGCGCCGAAAAAACAGCGCGCGCGACTTACACCCCCGCGTAAAATCGATCTCGGTCCCTTCGCCAGGCCCACCACGTTCCCTCCGAGGCTTGCTGATGGTCTCACATCTCCGCTGTTCTTCTCACATAAGGATAGGCCACTTATTACTAGACCCCCAAGCTTCTCCGGATCTGAGGGAGCAACCATGTTGAAAAATGTGCATGATGGTGTGGAGGTAACGACTCTAAAGCTTGCCCGGGGTACCGTACCCTCGGCGAGTCCGGCCAGATCCTCCAGCACGCCCGGTAGCTGGTCTTCTATTGAAACGGGAAGTTTGGTGCGAAGTCCCGAGTCGATGACCGCCACTCCGGGATTACAAGCATTACAAGGCATCGGCGTCCTCGAATTATTAGAGCGTGATGATAGACCAACTTTCATCGTTGACAGCTTGAATACGGCCACCAGCAACCCTGACCCCCTCCCTATTCTCTATGCGAATCCGGCGTTTCAGGTCTCCGATACTATTCGGCATTTGCTTTCTGGGGAATTCCAAGACAACGTGGAAGCGCGGGATGAGTTTCTCAATTTCAAGGCGTGGGTAAACACGGGTGGTAACCATACTGACGCGCTTGATGTCTTCTTGCCTTCGTTTCGCTATGGTGGTTTTGGTTGGACCTGCTCAACTATTAGGAATAGGTTCCGTTTTATCAGTGCGAATATCAGCGCAGCGTCGATTGCGCTAGCCTCCCCCGAACCACCGTTAAAGCGAGAATCCAGTATCGATTTGCAAGCTCGCGGCTTATCACTGAATGCTCAGGTTAAAACGCCTAGTGACATTGTACTACCTGATCGAGATTACTTCGGACTTGCTAACCCCATCGATCCGGAAGATCAGATGCAGCAGGACGGAAGTAACGATGGCGATACCAGCTTACCCTTATACAGCGATGATGGCCTAACCCCGGAAGCTATCCCACCGCCCGTAGTGCAGCATTCTTTCGACTGGACTCAGATACCTTTTACTGAGGATCTCCCGGGGCACATAAAGTTCACTCGCAGTATCGACTGGGCATCAACGCCGCTTGGTTCTATCGAAAGCTGGTCATCGGAGTTACGTGCAATGGCGAATCTAGTTATGGCTAGCCCTAATCCCGCAGCAATGTACTGGGGTCCAGAATTTACTACTATGTACAATGAGGCATATGTTGCATTGGCAGGTGCAAAACACCCGAAGCTCATGGGCCAAACTTATAAAGATGCTTGGGGTGAGCTCTGGCCCGATCTGCAACCCGTCCTGGAAAGTGCCTGGAAGTCGGGTCAAGCGACGATGAAAAACGATGATCGGCTTATTTTACGACGCAATGGTTTCGATGAGGAAACGTTCTTTTCATGGTCCATTGTGCCTCTTGTCGGTAGCGACGGCTCTGTTGTGGGGTTATTCAACCCTGCTTTTGAAAATACTCGACGGAAAGTGGCTGAGAGAAGAATGATAACATTACGCGACGTAGGAGAGAATACCGCATTGGCCCGCGACGTCAAGAGCTTTTGGAGCCGGTTTAACGAAGGCCTTATATCTAACGAAGATGACATACCATTCAGTCTGGTTTATTCGGTCACAGAAGAGTCTGAGAGCGATGTGTCGTCAATGCATTCGGGGAGCTGGGTGAACCCTCCTCTATTGATGCTGGAGGCTTCTCTGGGGGTGCCCCAAGGCCATCCTTTACTAATCGAATCCCTCAACTTAAGGACGAGCAGCGACGGTTTTGCCCCATACATGCGAGAATCTATGTCAAACGCGGGACAGCCTGTTGTCTTGTCTGCAGGGGATGGTACGCTGCCCGAAGGTTTTATGAACGGGTTGGCCAGGAGAGGCAAGGGTGACGCGTGCAAATCCATTGTTATATTCCCCGTCCACCCGACTACGGGCAGCGAGAGCGTGGTAGGTTTTATTGTGATGGGTGTTAACCCAAGGCGGCCTTACGACGAGGACTATAAGCTCTTCATCAATCTACTATCTCGGCAACTCGCAACCTCACTAGCGTCCGTCGTCCTGTTTGAAGAAGAGATACGCCGAGGCCAGAAAGCAGCACAAATGGCTGCCGCAGATCGTCAAGAGTTGACCAAGCAGTTACATCTAAGGACACAAGAAGTAGAAGAAAGCGAATTAAGATTTACAAGGATGGCCGAATTCGCCCCAGTTGGAATGTTCATCGCTGATCATTCAGGCCACATCACTTACTGTAATGATATGTGGTGGGATATATCAAGACATAATCGGTCACTGGGCGTAGACTCGTGGATGGAGAGTGTTAAAGACGAGGACCGACCTGCCCTAGAAATGATATGGCGCTGCCTACTTGCGGACAAAACTGCAATCACCCACGAATTCCGGTTTAAATGTTCCCGTCACGAAGGCGAAACTTTAATCGATACCTGGGTCTTGATGAGTGCATATCCGGAAAAGGATGAAAATGGTGGTATCAAGGGAATATTCGGGTGTGTTACGAACATATCGCAACAAAAATTGGCTGAACAGATTCAAATGCAGCGGCGGGAGGAAGCAGTCGAACTTAAACGACAGCAGGAGAATTTCATCGATATCACGAGTCACGAGATGCGTAATCCCCTCAGTGCGATACTCCAGTGTGCAGACGAAATCGCCGGAACCCTGTTAAATCTTAAGCCGTCTGGGGAAAGCGAGGAGCAAAGCGAAAGCCTCAGACTCGCGATAGAGGGCTGTATGGAAGCAGCGAATACCATAACACTCTGTGCCAGTCATCAGAAGCGAATAGTGGACGACGTACTTACACTTTCCAAGTTGGACTCGCAATTGCTACTCGTGACTCCTGTCGACGTACAACCTCTGGCTGTCGTGCAACGCGTCCTAAAAATGTTCGAGAGCGAGCTCAGCACGAACGGTATCGACCTGAAATTTCAAGTCAAGAATCGCTATATCGACATGGGTATCGAATGGGTTAAACTTGATCCTTCGCGGCTTCTCCAAGTACTAATTAACTTGATGACCAACGCTATCAAGTTCACGCAAAGCCGCCCCGCACGATCGATCGTAGTGACACTTGATGCTTCCAGTGAGGTATCAGATTCCGGCGTCGAGTACTTCCCAAGCGACCGTGCCGACAAGGACGTGATTACAGATCATGGCGATTGGGGCAGCGGAGAGAAGATACATCTCCATTTCTCCGTTCAAGATACGGGCAGAGGCCTAGATGAACATGAAAGGAAGCTTCTTTTCCAGCGCTTCTCTCAGGCCACCCCCCGAACTCATGTCCAATACGGTGGTTCCGGTTTAGGACTATTCATCTCCAGAATGCTAACCGAGTTACAAGGAGGACAAATCGGCGTAACCTCCCAGAAGGGCATTGGCAGTACATTCTCATTCTATATCCAAAGTAGAAAGACGGTCGGTCCGCCACCTGATGCACATGGGCTACCGGCCGCTCCTCCTCTTACACGAGCACCGGGGTCCTCAACGACGATCGAGACTCGGCACCCCAAAATGGCCTCTTCCGACAGTCTTGCTCGCACCGCCAAGAACGTTGCTTCTAAACCTCGATTCTCGGAAGATGGCCGTCGCTTGTTCGACGTTCTTATCGTCGAGGACAACCTCGTAAACCAGAAGGTGCTTCAGAGGTCGCTCCGCAATGTTGGGAACAGCACCAAAGTAGCTAATCACGGCGGCGAGGCCTTGGAGGTGTTACAGCAGTCACGATATTGGACCGGAAAGGAAGAGTCCGGGCACGATATATCGGTCATCCTGATGGATCTTGAGATGCCGGTAATGGACGGCATGACTTGCGCTCGCAAAATTCGGGAACTCGAAAGAAACGGAACGATTGTTAGCCATATTCCTATCATCGCCGTCACAGCGTACGCACGGCCGGAGCAAATTGAGAACGCCAAGGCCGCAGGAGTTGTACGTATTCTTCATTAGAATATCCCATTAAGGCCCAGTTCCAGTTACTAACCACCGACACAGGACGATGTCATTTCCAAACCTTTCCGCATGCCCGAACTCATACCGAGGATAGAGCAGTTAGTCGCAATCCACACGCCGTGTTATGCCGAAATCGCGGCAGCATAATGAACCCGAACTTCTCCAACCCGAGAATCGAATCCCAAACATATAATTATTCAAAGATTACCTTCCAAACCGTAACCATAATTATTAGCTTGCAATTCATTCTTCGTTTAATCCCATCCCGCAAGGCGTTTGGCTCCATCAAGCCGGGTGGAAGGCTTGTTCTTGTTTTTTAAATCATGATAAGGACAGAGATCATCACAAAAGTTCAGAGGGATTTGTTGCTGTTGATGTTATATTCTTTTTTCGATTTTTCTAACTTGATTTAGGGTATCTATCTAATTCATCATCTAGCCCCGACACAGGAGCTCGGGCCGGCAGATTTTTATATTTTTACATGTTAACAAAAAAATTTTTTTTTCCCGCATTACATATAGATGTAAAGAGGCGTTCATGGGCGAATACGGAGGGGACGCATATACACGAAGGCTTGGGTTGGCATATGGGGCGCTTCTTCTCCCCCGAGTCCATTTTTCAGGATTCTATATTTTATAGTTATATTTTTATTGTTTTTCTTTATTACACCGCGTTACTACTTGCGGGTTTGTTTTTATCCATTTATTTATTTTACGTTAGCCTGAGGACACAGAGATTGGGGTGGCTATGACGGCCCGTGATGATGATGACGATGATGGGAAGAGGAGACGAGGACGAGGACGGGGACGGGATATGAAGTCATGTTGCACAATACATAGATGTATATCCTGGGATCTAGGTACCTGCTCGCGCACACATATACGTAGTAATTTAAATCAGTGAAAATACCTAGGAATCAGAAATTGATAGTATATAGTTAATATGTCTTATGCCTTGAGAACGGATGTGATGGTGAATGAATGGCTGGTTTATCTTGGATGAGAGGAATAGGGGGAGGGAGTAATGTTGTAAGGGATATATAAAATAGAATTACACTTACGGAAGCATGAACGTTGTTTAAAAAGGACCTCGGTAGGTATGCATACAAGTTATAAGATCTGTTTGTGTTGGAAGTCGAGTCGCGGAATTAGAGATGCTATCTTTATGGTCCATTCACCAAAGTAAACCTCGCACTACCTCGTTTTATCATAGGTAGATTTTACCTCAGATGGTATGGCACAGACGGATGGCATATATAAAAGATCAACAGGACTCAGTGTTAAACCCGTATATATTTACCTACCTAGGTAGGTAAGCGCGTACTATATGTAGACATGCTCCTGAGATACCAACTACCAGGCCTAGGTAAACAAACCCCTTTTCCACACTTCATACCTCATACCTCCACCTCCCAGATCTCCAAACCAACACCGACTACTATCACCTTTTTCTTTTTCTTACCCGTGCCCTTTTTATTTCCCTCTCCCTCTCCTTCTCCCTCTCCATCTTCATCTCCGCCCTCGAAGACATCTAAATCCCCCGCATCAGCAACAGAGCTATACCGCTCGTCCAACAACTGCGCCCTCGCCTGCTGCTGCTGCTGCCATCCAAGCAGCCGCCAGATCCTAACGCGCTGGTCATTGCTCCCCGTGACGACGAGCGCGCTATCTTCTTCTCCCACGTGCGCGAACGCCACGCCGGTGATGGCTGCGGCGTGCGCGGAGCGGACGAGGGATTTGCTCTTGATTGTGATAGCTGCTGCTGCGTCCCCCTGAGACTCGGAGGGGGGAGAAGGGGCAGCAGGAGAGATGCAGATATGCGCGACGCCTAGCGCGTTGTCGTCGCCGCCTGTTACGATGAGGTATTCCGAGGTTCCGTCATCTCGGATAGCTACTCGCCGCACGTCGAGGGATTTGATAGTGTTCTGGTGCAGTTTTGTGACGGCAAGTGCGGCGTCGGCATCGCCTGAGTTCTTACCATCATCATCTTTGAGGTTCGATTTGGAGGAGTAGATAGCTAAATATCCATCCGTGGCCGCAGCCAAGGCATGGTCGTTATCCAATCGGCGTACTTGCGTAAGACACGCACCCGTATACGTTGACCTTTTTAGTAGACGGAACCCTGATACGCGGCTATAGGTATACGTCTGTAGCGTCGAGTTCGATAGGACCATAGATATGGCAAACTCATATCCGCCATCACTATCGCATGCGGTGCAAGTCACGTCAAAATCGGTAATGCGGGCATCTCCCACTTCAGTTCGGTCAGGGAACACAGCTTCGCATACAACGGCAAGCCCGCTGAAGTTGCTGCATTGGAGCCGGTTGATCTTCCATACGAAGAATTCCTCGTTGCCGCCGCTACTAAATAGGTACTCGTTTTTGTACCATTTTAGAGCTTGAATACCCGTAGCATGCCTCTCCAGCGCCGTGACGCAGCGTAGCCTAGGATCGTTGCTATTGTGTTCATTATGTTGATAGTCGTGGTCGTTATATTCCCATATCCGTATCACAGTGTCTTCAGCGGCCGTGGCAATGTAGCGCCCTGTAGAAGCGCTCACCGCCTTAATTTCACGACCGTGGCCCCCTGGCTTGAGCGTCTTGTGTGGTGCACATGTCTGCGAAAAGATGTGCATCTGCCCCGCCTTGGTAAATACAAATCGAAATCCATCATGCCGGTACCTCAGGGGAGTCCAAGCGTAGCTCCGCGACGAGCCTCCGCAATCGACTGTGGCGACCTCGTGACGCTGGGTTTCGTTCCAGACCACTAGGTTACTACTCCGAAAACCGCAGAGCATGAGATCCTTGGTCCCATCGCCGTTATCGGAGAACCAAGCCCCCTCGATAGATGACACAAATGGCGGCAATATCTCGTGAACCAGTATGGCGTTGGGTTGGCTAGCCGTTGTTGAAATTTCATGGATCCTGTATCTTCCATCGCGACACGTGCTCAAGATGTAGTTGTGTGGTTGGTCATCATCATTGCCAAGGGGGAGTAACGAGGTGATTGCCTCGTCTCTCTGCACCTCAATAGTAAAGATGACGGAATACTCGCCACTATCGCCTTGTTTAAGGACGACGATGACTCCTTTTCTGGATCCGAGAACGAGATACCCCTGAGTGAACGTAGCAGCGGTAACCATAAAGCCTGGTTCTAAGGCTACTTCGGTGTGTTTTAGCGCCAAATTATGAGGATCAAATTGGATGAGGAGAGCATTGGTACTGCGCAGGATAGTAACGAGAAAATCCACATGCCTATTACCTGTCCTTACGCTGGCGTCAAATACGCAGAAGATATCTGCTATTTTCCCATCCACTTTAGTCATTAGCTCAAGAGATGCACCCCCCGATTCTCCATAGTAGTAAATTTCACCATTATTCGTGCCAACGAGAGCTATATGATCAGTTGTTGGTGTTCCGAGGAGCGGATGCGAGAAGACTATCTGGCCAATCTCGTTAGGGAGAGTTAACTCTGTCCACGTGAGTCCATCCCCCAAAACGCCAACAAATATTTGGCCTGAATTTGTGGCGGCAAGGAGTCGATTGTCGGAGATGAATGTATAACGGTTGAACCCTTCCTTTGCATTTTTGGGTTTGGTGCCCTGCGAAGGCAAGGCTAGACTGGTCGAAACGCCGTTTGACTTCTCAGGGTCAGTTGCCGCATGATTTGCTTGGGAAGACCGTATCACATCTGAGAGAGACCACGTAACGCTTTTCCTCTCATCCGATACTCTATCGGTGGGCTTTATCTGGTCGCCGCTTGTTACTTTTGGAGATAGAGACTCCACGCCAGCTCCTATCAGAGCAATCTTTCCATCGGCACCGCCAGTTGCGATCAGCAGATCTTCACCATTGGATGTCATGGCGTGAGACCAAATATGTTTCCCACTATGATTTGAGGCAGTAGACTGGTGAGTCAACCTAGCGAGCTTAATGGAAGAACCAGAGACGTCGGGCCCCTGAGCCTGTGTGTCTAAAGATAGTTTCCATTTCTGCGCCGTGGCGTCTTCACCAAATGAGTAAAGTTCAACGATATTGGAGGTCTTGGATAACGGTTGGATTTGTGGAAATTCGACCTGCCATATCCTTGATGCATGTCCCATGACCGTAGCTAAGCATCTTGCCGACTGGTCGTCGTGAGCTGTATCCTCTGCATTATATCCGAATCCTGTCTCACGCGCTTCCGTGATACAATCTCCATACCCGTTCTGGCCTTGGTGTCCGGACTTCCCGCGTCTTTCGGTGATATCCCAAACTCGGATAGTCCTATCATCACTGCAGCTTGCCAGTAGCCTCAGCGTCTCCCCCTGCGAAGTTTGGATCTCAGGGGAAATATGGACCCCGAAGATTGAACCTTCATGACCGGTAAATACGGAAAGGACCTCGCAGTTCTGCTTCTGTTCGGCAGTTTCGAGGTAGCATTTCCAGACAATGATCTCTCCAAATACCGTTCCAGCGGCCACGAGTACGCACTCCCTCGACACCCAGAAGAAGTTACCCGAATATAAAATGGGCCTTGAAGGTGACTGGATACTATCGAGGATAAGAGGACCCTGGTCTTGGTCTACATGGGCCTTGATAACTTCATTATGGGCGGTAAGTAGCACAATACGACCGTCTCCAAAGGGTGAGATCCTCCCGTCGAAAATCCAGTCGGGCACCCTGGCCTCGACATTTTTTGTCGAATCTGGCCTATTATTATGACCTTGGATAATACTTTCAACTATGTCATTAGATAGAACTTTGACATGGTGCCCGCCCCAAATGAGAATCAAATGAGGCTGCTGGGATGCACCCAGCGGCGGTACAGAGATTCCGTGGATAGACTGAGCCCGGAATATGGGTAGTTGACCGCAAAAGCGCGAGGTCTTAACATGATATATATTAATATCCGTATCCTCCCCAGCTAGGAGGTATTGCTCCCCATTGACTTGTGACGTATAAAAGGCCAGGGCCGTAATAGGATTCAGCACATGTTCCCTGTAGAGGTTACCGAGAGCAGCCAGCTATACATATTTAGGGGTTAGTATGTAGGTACCTGAGGTATATTAAGAGTGGTATAAAAAAGGTGTAAATTGGTGGTTTAGCGGTGTGTATGAAAACATTATGAACGGAAAAGAACAATTGGATTTGTATTTACCTCGCGAGACATCGGGTTCGATTACTCGTCGTGATTTCCATATGTGACTGAATAATGAATAATGGATAATGAATAATAATAAGAATAATAAGAGACTAGAGGTTAAATTTTAGCTTAGGTTATTGCACCAGACGTGGATAAAGCTAAACCCACTTTACATAATATTTCCTTTTTATTGCATTGTTATTGAGTTTATTTATTAAATGAAAGATGAAAGCTCATAAGAAAGTATTAGTTGCGCAACACCGACCATAACACTTAGAAGGCCAAAAAGTGCTGCAATAAAACCGAAAGAAAGCAGAGAATTGATCATGGGATGATTCGGGGCTGTGACAAAGAGTCTCGATAATATTCTTATCCATCAGCAACGCTGGTGGAATAAAGTTGATATTCATCGTGACAGCCTCAAAATTCAATTGGTGATAGATACTGGCTATAAAGGGACGACAATGAGCGAAGGTCACTTTGATGCCTTACCACCATACCGATCAGTTACTTACTCTGTATAGAACAATGTATTGGGTCGACCACGCGGCTGAGGCTGAGGCAGCCCGCATGGCAGTGATGGATATAATATGTTACCAAGTCCGGTTATCCTTAGGATCCATCCTACTTCTACTATCCCCTACCAATATCTAGCATAAACACCTAGAAGGCTTCAGACACTCGATCGAGCAGAACCGTAAATTGTCAATTGCGAGAGATTGGATGGAGAAGATATCATACAGCCTTGCGATGTGCGGTACAGACATGGCCAGTGCTAAACTTTGCGCTCACTTCAGCTCATCCCTTCGAATCTGAAGAAGAACCACAAGATGACCCGAGACTCCAGAAGATACGGAATCTGACCCAATAGCAGTCGGCGGTATTGAATATGATTTTACCGAGACACCGTCGCCTCAGACCAGACCTACGACAGATATCGACGCCAAACACTCATCGCATACTTTTGGGTATAAGCAGCGACTACTTCGCCGCCCCGTGATTGAACCATCGCTATCGACCCTGAGTTGGGTACCAGGCCAGCCTAACCTGGACTGGTCTCTTCTGAAGTTACAAGATGTAAAAACATGGAACTGAACTCGGTCCAAATAACGGGACCCCAACAAGTCGAAAAGACTTACTACATAGTATATTGGCACCGAGCCAAGAACCAGACCATCTAAGCAACGCCGTGTCCGAATTATCACGTCTCACCACATCAAGTCCAAAGGGACAATTAGCCCAATCCCTACTTACATATCCAATCAGAGCGGGAACCAGAACCTGTGCGAAGTCTGCACCGTCTCACTAACCCATGGTCGAGGTATGTACCTACGGTCTTCCGCAACACAGGTAAATACCAGAGCTAACAGAAATTCCAAGGACTTGGGATCGGTGATTCCGGGTCTCTAGTGATAGACGAGGAAACACAGGAGGCGTACGGCCATGTTATCGCGGTCGATCCCATGGGTAGAATATTCGTCATCCCGCTTGTCGATACCCTGGGCCAAATCCGAAGTTTGTTTGGGACTATGGACGTGGATATTTTCTCGAAGGACTGGTCTATGCTTCCCGACCGGCTTCTCACGCCCCCCAACCCATATGATTCAACGCGCTGGTACAAACTTGGGTTTTGAATGCCGTCTCGTAATATAACCTCCCGGGGGAAAGCATACTGGGACAAGGATCAAAATGAGGGGCTAAGAGACGGTAGAATGTGTAGCTATTACTTCCTCAGATTCCGGCCTCTTTTAGAAATCGAGTATATCTACCTACGTGCCTGTTATCTTCATACGGGAGTTACATAGTATACCTCTGATGTGGGTCTCAAAGTTAACCAAAAGGCTGGCCGCGTCTTATTATAGAAACCCATGTGTATACCACATGCTCCAACGCTAAAGTCTGCTGTATGTATGGTCCCTGGAGCCCGTTTTTGGGGCCACCGGCATGGAGCATCTACTATGTACATCTCGCACCTCATTTGTGCCACGTGCTCTAAGCTCCGGTTCGACCACACCGCTCGGTCCTAAATATGCCAGCAACGCATATGCACACCAGAGCTAGTTTCGGTAGTTACCTAATAATGGAAGGCTATTCACGATATCTTCACCCATGAGCACCATATACCGAATTTATATTCCAAAAAGGGAAAGAGTATCTTTAATAGATAGAATATTTGGGTCATATATGAGGCCATTCACTCTAGGCCATTATATTCCGAATTGATATCATAATAATCCACGATCTTCCCATCACGGGAAACCACCCTATCTACCTCATACGTAGATATCTCCGATAGCTTTTGCAGATACCGCGATCATCCAGTCTTGTCATACCCAGGCCCAAACGCCAGCAGAACGCAAAAATTACAGACCTGTAACCATCCATTTCATTGTAGATTGACTGATATTCTCCGTGTTTAACGGGCGTGAGAGTAAGGCTCGTAGGCCAGATCCGAGCGGGCACCACCACGCTGCGGGGCACCGTAGTTGTACCCGGAGTTGCGGTTATCACCGAGCGGCGCGTATGAACCGGTAGGAATAAACTTCTCACCCTCGGCACCGTGTGCCGCTCGTCGGTTGTAGGGACGGTTCTCGGGCTTGCAGCAGCAGATGGAGAAGAGCCAGAAGAAGCTGGCACCGAGCGCAAAGGCAACACCAATCCAGACGCAAGCCAAGAAGTTGTTGTTCCAGCTGGCGTCTCCACCGTACTTCGACGTGGCGCCTCTCACTGCACCGACCACGATAACAGCTAGCGCAGTCATCATAGATGCAGCAGCGATAACAAAGGCAGTGGCAATACCAGAAATGACCCAGGTCAGGCAAGAAACCAGGCGAGAGCAGGCGGTGAACAGACCAACGACTAACTCAAGGGCAAGGCCAATCATAGCAATGATGTAGACAACCTCGGTCCACTTGATGAGGGTCTTGAAAGTGCTCAAGGTGTCGTTCACCTCGTCAGGAACGGTAATGTTAGCACCAAGCTGGCTGCCAAATTCGTCAACCCACGAGGTGTTGAGATCCTCTTCAGCCCAGTTGAACTTGGCCTTGGTGCAGTTCTTAGCGCCGTCGGTTGTTGTTGAGCAGTAGTTCCAGAGGGTAAACTGGTAGATCTTGTCGATACCGAGCTCGGCGGCGGTGATGTTGTCGCCGGAGCCGGTAAGACTGCCGACGATACCGGAGATATCAGAGGTATCTTGCGGGGCTGGCGAGCGGGTGTTGTGTTGATTCAAGGGATTATGAACATTTTGGCTGACAGCCTTCTGACCGTTGTTTACGGCGCTGTCAATCTTATCTGAGATACTTTCGGCGCTGGTAATGTTGCCGAGGAGGCTTTGAAGGGTTCCGGCATCGATAGTAACGTTCCTAGTATCGATTTCGAAAATGAATAGACCGTTGTTGGTGACACCGGTGAGACCAGCAATCAGCAGAGAGATGATGCTGCCTACTGTCAATATGAATGGCAGAGCCACGCAGACATATCTTCCAACACCCATGATGTATACCAGTCTATTTGCGACCGAGAGGAATCTAGTTACTTTACGGTTGTTGTAGTAGTTCTTTTAACGAGTGCAGGCCGTTGACTTAAACGAAGGTAAGTTACCTAACCTAAGGTTATATGGTTTGAAGGTTTGATAAAAGGGTCCAAGATGGAAAAATGACGACTGACCCAGCAACGGCAAGCGACAATAAATAATAAATAAAGATGTAACAGTGATACGTGAGCAAAGATGCACTGAAAAGAATAAGGTGCGTAAGACGGTTGTATTTATTACGCATGGGAGGGACGATCAGTAGGACTTGACTGGACTGACTGATCAAATCTAAGCAAGCGTGGCGCAGCTTCGGGCTACACAACCCAGCCCTCCGGCCCTTCTACATAACATGGCAGCATGGCGGGGGGGAGGGGGGACCCTTTCAAGTCGACGTCAGCCCATCACTAAAAAGTTGTCCAGGGGATGCTCAGCCCCGCTGTAAAATACAAAATACTCCAATGAGACGGGATGCCACCCCACTAGAAAAAAACAACAACAAGTGACATTTGGGTAACCCGTATTGCCGTTGACACCACACAGCCTGATAATTGTTTGTCTAATACCCGATGTATAATAGTAGCAGGATCATTAACTTTGACTGAAGATCATTCCCTAACGTTTATGCCCAACATTTTTCATCAGGATGATTTTGACTACTTACCTACCTAGATACCTACACTACTAAAGCACCTCAGAAGCACCGGTGATGCAGTTTCATCCAAGACAAGGCATGAAGGGGAATTAGGTGAACCGACCTATGCCCCACTCCCCACCTAACCTGTACAAGGGCAGCTTGTGTGAGAGACCTGACATTACCTGACCTGTGTAAAAGTTCAGTAGACCTATGGAATAAAGTTCATATTATTACTGGTTTTTAGTGGGTAGTAGGCAACTTAACCATTTATAATCCAGTTGATTAGTACTCACTAAGTACTCATTCTATTCGGTAGCAGTTACTATACTACTTACTGAGTACTTACTTTATCCGGTAGCAACTACTATATTACTCACTGAGTAGGTAGTATAGTCCAGTTGATTAGTACTCACTGAGTACTCACTCTATCCGGTTTTCTACAGCAGCTACTATACTACTTTGATTAGTACTTACTAAGTACTCACTCCCCTTACAGCGGCCACTATACTACTCGTTAAGTACTCAATGAGTACTTTGTGAGTGCTAACCAAGTAGTAATAAACATTTACTTTAAATATCTTCATTTTGGTTGGGATTAAACCCCCTATTATCTAAATGATTAGCCATCTTTTGTTGCCTAAGTCATTACCTATACAGTTGAATTGGTAAGGGTCCATAGGTTAGGTAAATTTTATTCCATAGGTCTACTAAACTGTTATACAGGTTAGGTAAGCTCAGGTCTCTCATACAAATTTCCCTTGCACAGGTTAGGTGGGGAGTGGGGCATAGGTCGGGTGACCTATGGTCTCGGCATGAATGCAGCAGCTGAAATAGAACAACTACGCTAACATTTCGCTACACCAGTCTAGTTAGGCATATCGCAATTCCGGACTAGGCTATTGACTAGGGGACCCCAGCAAACCTCAAACTCCCGCAGATACGCTGTATTGCTAACAGGTACGACTTTATCGCATAGAGGTTGCATATAACCCCCGGTACTCCGGCAAGAACTAAAGATACGCTGTATTCGAAGCGAGAGAAAACAGCAATCAAACACAATTTTGTGCAGCTTTACATGGTAACACGAATGAAAAAAAAAAAAAAAAAAAGAGATACAGAGATACAGAGGCATAAAGTGGACGGGGCCGCGTAAAGTCGCAAGAAAAGCTCTTGGAAATGTTGATCAGCGTGTGGCTAGTGGTCCTCGTGAAGATCGATTATAGGTTTAGATTGGACAGATTATTGCGTGCCTCCCGCGTGTTCGAATACGTGGGCGTTGTGGCGTCAACGCACAAGGATCCCGTGAGGCGATGCCCTTGACGCGTCTTTGTCTCTCCACCATACTACATATGTAAGAATCTCTCACGACAGACGAGACAATATGAGCATGGCCATGTTTTGAAATCTTCAAAAAGATAGAGAACGTTTTGCGTTGCGGTTCGAATCGAAAATTCGGAAGAGATGATGCGATAGTATAAATCATAAGTTTTGACAAATAAGGATGGTGTCGTTGAAGATGGCAGGATGGAAATGAGGAGGATTGGAAGGGGGATTTCAAAGTCCAACATACACTAATTGAAACCGGTGCGAAAGGCTATTACCAGCCGAACCGTTTAGTGAGGTACCTACTTACCAGCTCTTTAAATGTGGCTGGGCCAGTTAGCGAGCCTTGGCGAGGTCCCTGCTAGGCCCGCCAGGGTAGGTCGCGGGGCAGATCTTGAGGGATCCTAAAAATAGGAAGCTTGGAAAGTTCCACTTGTGGCTAACCAGCAGCAATACGTACCTTTCTCTAAGAACCTGCCTAAAACCCCATTTATGCGTTCAGGGTTGAGGCAAGCAAACACAAACAAATTCTTCCGGTAACCGAATTTTTATATGTATAAGAGGTAATCGCTCTTATGTTGTTAGTTTCCGGACCCGAGAAAGGAGCTCAAGTCGGAGATACCAACTTCTCAGCCCTATCCGTTATGGTTAAAAGGTAGAAGGGTTCTAGAATTTCGGCCTTGAACCTTGCCCGATCCGGAATACACCGATGGACCGGGTCACGTCGGGAGCCGTTTGCGGATATGGATGGTGACATGGTGACATTAGCGACCTTACCTCTCAGAAGGACGTCAAAAAAGGTGGCGCACCTAGGTGCGCCAGTTATCTTGACGCATTTATGCCTCTTCGTTACGATTCATTATCCGTCGGTAAGCTCCTTAATATAGGAGCTGTCAGGCTGTTAGACTATGATTCTTAGTCGCCCTACCCGATAGTCCAATCAACATTTTTCAAAGGATCTAACAGCTGCCGCGATGGCCTGATGACGGGAAATGTAGGCGAAGCAAGGCATTGGCTCGTTGAGAGCGTAGGGTTCATGATGTTGTTGGACATGAAATAGTACTACCTCAACACCGCCATGTACAATACTATCGGTGTCCAAAGACTAATCTTCCCGCTGCCGGAGCAGTTCACACCGAAGGCGTGATGAATTGTCCGGTTCCTTGCCGTCGAGCTGTCGCGTGCATACTGGTGGCACATAGACGATGGTTGAAATTCGGTTTGAGTGGCAGGTTGATGTATTCTTATAGTATTATACTGCGTATGATATAGACGTCTAATAACTTTGTGACACGCAGGACAACCTAACGCAACAGATTCCTATTGGGCCATTTACTTATCTACTTGAAGGAATACCTAATATGTGCTACTTACCTAAGACACGCTCTTGGCTAATCAATCTAGACTTGCTCGAGGCCTGGCGTGTATGCAACTGCCACGATACCGGTATTAATTGCAGTGTCAAGCTTTCAGTAGACTCCAATAGAAACGAAAGCCGAAGTTATTAGAGTGATAAGTGCCAAGTAAGCAGGCCTGACAAGCAGAAGCCGAGACGGTCGAAAAGACTACGATGGCTGCTCGTGATGCAGCGATGCTACCGATGTTACCGGGTTGCCTGGTAGTCGCCACCGCCAAGGATCGTGATGTCGATGTTCACTACCGGTAAAGCTTGGAGAGATACGAACTTTTGGGTTATATACCTACTACCTACCTAAGCAAATGGGAATGGGTCAGCAACTAGAGACGGAGCATGGATGATTAAGGTATTTGTACCTATCGGACATCGAGAATCAACTGCCACTGTCCGGTTTAGGCAATACAAATCAAAGTAACGAACAAAAGCCGGGCTCGAAAGATGAGATCTTTGCAGTAGGTGCCATCGCGTTGCCTGATCGACGGGGTTCTCAGTTTCTTATTGGAAGTTTAGTAAATTTTACTAGATTGCTCCCGCCTGCATGTCACCTTGATCTACTTGAAATTCCCGCTCTTGTCGTTCCATTCGAAGCTGTTCGTCCGCAAACATCGTTATATCCTAAGAGGTTTTGGGCACCATATACGACCATTATATGTAAGGTGTAAACGGTAGGGAGGGTTGGAGGGGTGGAGAGAAAACCTGACCTCCTACCGTACCTGGCAGACTGGTCGTCGAGTCGGACGTATTATCATCAAACCTTGACCAATTTTAATTTAACCCCACACTTAACAATGTATTATTATTTCGTCGTAAATGACTTTTTGACTTTTCTTTGTTACCAGTAGGACAAGGGAATCCACCCTTATACATTAGGTAGAGTTGGGTAACCTTCAGACGACTTGGACAACTTAACTCGAGCCGGAACGAAGGTGCCCCGCCAAAAATTACATAGCGGTCTGGAAGGTTAGGTACGTCCCTTCCACTAAAACTCGCTGCAAGGTGTTCCTCCGCCGCCCCAGTCGGACGGCATCGCGGACTATTCGAAAGTGGAAGTAGCGGCTCCCCACTAGTGGTAAGAATAACATATGTAAGTGCATACTGTATGGTCGCATCAAATAGAGATAGATTATTGAAATCAAGTAACCACCTTAAGGTGTAGTTGCCGTATGTATAGGCATCTGGGCATTTTCTTATCAATGACATGATCTGTTTAACGTCGACTGTAACTTCTCTCTCCCCCCCAACTTCCTATTTGTAAGGTTATTTAGTGCGTATGTCTGAATAATCTTGACGCGTTCGCATTACTCTCTCTCTCTCTCTTCCTTCTTCCCTTCAACCCTTCAACTCCATTCACCCCTTCTTCCCAACTTATCAAGAAGCCCAAAATTCCAACGTGCCGCATCCATTGTCCTACCTTGATCCAACCGGCTTGCTCCTTTGAGAGCAATACAACCGGAACCTCCCCTAAATAAAGCCATAAAGCCACATTTCTATTTCTAATTGCTAATTCCAAATCGTGCATAGCGACCGTCAGGCCAATATAGCCCGACACCTGTCGTCACCCACGGACCTTGGAACCGTTTTGACAAGTATAGCGGGACGTGCCCCTCGTCCTACGCACACACGCTCGGCGCGCGCACAGAAAATAAAAAACGACCTTGGCGACCTTGCGCATAGCCTAACGTTGTATAACAATCATCCGATCAGGCTACTCTTCATATGCTAGGTAGGTGTCTTTTCTACTTCTATACTAGTTACCTACTTCTTATTTCTCTTCTTCCTATTCTAACTACATCTCCTATATTGGGTACGTACATGCATATATACATGCATATAGTCAGTCATACACACTTATAGTCATACACATACACATATACATATACATATACCTACCTACCTTACCTACTTAACTTACGCATAGTCCTACATCACTCGTACATATCCCCATACTTACACATCCATACACACATCCATACACACATCCATATACACATCCATCCAATACACACGCATACGCATACGCATATGTATCTACTGCTACCCTAAGCTACCCTAATACTGTATGTTATGTACGGTGAGACGGCAACCCTCGTTGCTTGGCGCCGTTACCAAAAGCTCCACTAGAGTCTAGCACGTTCTTCTGACCTCGTCCTTGGCCCCAGGGCCCTTCTCTTGGGTTATGTCCCCATGTCTTATCTTCCCTTTTTATTTTTAACCTGACTCATCACCGTTCGCCGCATCTCAGACGAAGCAGACGAACAGCTTCTCCCCGCATTTTCCTTTGCTCTGGTGTATGTATTGTCCCCAAAAAGAGAGGAGAAAAGGGGAAAAATTATTAGACGGTCCAAAAATAACAATAGACGGCCCTAAACCTTCGCCTTCGCCATCGCCATCATTATCAACTTCCCTCCCTTCGCACATCTTTTGCCTCATCCTCTCCTCCGCAACTCCCCGGTCTACCTAAGACTTGCAATCAATTTCCCCAGCTGCCAAACCCCCCCGCCAGATTCAACATTCAACTGATCAACTGCCGACCCTCATACATGTACGACCTCAATCCGCATAGGCCCCGTCGCTGATTCTTCCGAACTGCAATTTAGATTAATTACATTACATCTAGCCTCAACGTCGCTAGCATAGCCTCTTACGCAACACTGCTATTCCTGCATTCGCTCCCGACATCTCCGTTTGACCACGACAGCATCCTACCCCATCCTTCACCTCGTCGTCCTCTCCCGCAACTCCCCGATACCTGCGAAAGACTGGCGCTTACTCTACGCCTTAGCTACAAAGACGGAGAACAAAACGGCGCCCACTTCTTCCGCCGCCCTCCTCCTCTCTGTCCTTGACCGACTATTTCATCCTCCCTAGCAGCGAGCTGGACATTAACGAAGAATATTATCCGACCCGTCGCTAATACACGATCGACATATCGGTGGGCGCTTGGGCTTCCTATTCCTGTTTTCTGTTTCCGCCTAAATCAACAATAAAAAATTCTGCATCGCGAAGCTGGACTGATACTCATTGAACATCGTCAACACTCGACACGAGACGATGGGAAACCAAACCTCCAAAGACGGGGGGAGCGGCAAGGGCTCAAGCGCATCCTCCGGAGACCGCGCCGAAAACTTGCAATCGTATCCCTCATTTGGAAAATCGGAGACCAAGGATTCTACCCGTTCATTTAAAAACTTCCGATCAAAAATTCCTGGTGGTGGGAAGACAGATAGTCCACGGAGCTCGGCGATTATATCCAACGGAGATGCTGTCGGGGACAAATCGGATGCGGCTTCTGTAAAATCTGCGCGGAGCAGCAAATCGAGGACTGGCCGTGCTGACTCAGTCACTTCCCCATCATCCCCGCGATCGCCGGACGCAAACAACTCCTATGATAACCAACCACCTCCTTCTCCTGTCCAATCTGCCTCTATTAGAGCTGGTCATGGCGACATACATGCTGCCCAAGCTTGTGGCGAGGTGGACCACGTATCCGATCAGCCGCCCAACGGAGTCGCGAGCCCAAATTCGCATATACAGCAGCAGCCCGGAGCACCCATCTTGGTGAAGAAGGAGAATACTATTAACCCTATCATATCTGTGCCGGGAACACCCTCGAAGGATGATTCCCCTACCGTGGTTGCTATGAGTGACATCAAGGATATTGACCTTGATGATTTCATTAAGCGGCTCCTAGACGCTGCGTACGCTGGGAAAGTAACGAAGAGCGTATGTCTCAAGAACGCCGAGATTGTCGCCATCTGCCAGAGGGCACGAGAATGCTTTTTATCACAGCCTGCGCTGCTGGAGCTTGATGCGCCGGTCAAGATCGTTGGCGACGTTCACGGCCAGTATACTGACCTGATTCGAATGTTCGAGATGTGCGGGTTTCCGCCGAGTGCGAACTATCTTTTCCTCGGAGACTACGTTGACAGGGGCAAGCAGTCCTTGGAGACCATCTTACTTTTACTGTGCTACAAGCTAAAGTACCCCGAGAATTTCTTCCTCCTAAGGGGGAACCATGAATGTGCCAACGTTACGAGGGTCTACGGCTTTTACGACGAATGCAAGCGAAGGTGCAACGTTAAGATTTGGAAGACGTTCATTGACTGCTTTAACACGCTTCCGATCGCCGCCATCGTTGCAGGAAAGATATTCTGTGTTCACGGTGGACTGTCTCCAGCCCTAAGCCATATGGACGATATCCGCAATATTGCTCGTCCTACCGATGTCCCTGATTACGGTCTCCTTAACGACTTGCTATGGTCCGATCCCGCCGACATGGAAGCAGACTGGGAGGCCAACGAGAGAGGTGTCAGCTACTGTTTTGGTAAGAGGGTTATCACCGACTTTCTAGCAGCCCACGACTTTGATCTCGTCTGCCGAGCGCACATGGTCGTCGAAGACGGCTACGAATTTTTTAATGATAGAGTTTTAGTCACTGTCTTCAGCGCACCAAACGTAAGAGTGTCCCGTCCATCTATAACACCATATACTAACTATTTATGTGCTAGTATTGCGGCGAATTCGATAACTGGGGAGCTGTCATGTCTGTGTCTGCGGAGCTCTTGTGCAGCTTCGAACTACTGAAGCCACTCGATTCCTCTGCGCTCAAGAGCCATATTAAGAAAGGCAGAAACAAGCGTAACAACATGTTGAACAGCCCGGTACGTGACAATCACCGTTTTAAGTCTGCTTGCAAGAGAGTTTCTATGACTAACACTTTTCTTCATTAGCCGGCTAGCGTATACCCCCAGAGCGTATAAAATCTTCTCTGGAGGGCTTCTCAAGAGAAGGTCTTCGTGAAGTAATCATACCGACGAGTTCATTGCGCATGGAAACGAATTGAAGGACCCCAGGAGTTAAAGTATGGACCAGAGATGCATCCTTACGCCTACGGGCCTTCTTTCGTTTCAAATCATGACACTGCTAGGAGATAACCAAGAACTACGGTGTGCGAGGGAAGGGACGGGATTTAGCGGCAAGCCTTGACACCAAAGTCGAACTTAGCACGGTCAACCCAACCCTAAGGCAGCCTGTGCCGTTGGAATGGGAGGCGAGGGTGTAGTAATCCTTGCAAAGCGAGAGCAAGCCAGAAACGGTTTTGCTCGAGAAACAACATGTGTCGAAAACTAACTAGAGCTCGGGAAGTCCATTGTTTTATCTATTCCCCGGTGGCCACGGGGCTTAAGAAGGAACCAAATTCCTTCCCGTGTTTCTAGGAAGGGAAAGGAGGAAATGGACGGTTGGACGGTTGGATGGCGCTTTATTACTTTAGTCCTTGATGTTATCATGTACAGTATCAAGGTTTCGGTTAGGTTAATTACTACGAATGAGTATGCTTGGAGTCCGCGCATTAGTCATTAGGGGGGCCAGATGGTTCCAAGCAAGCAAAGCAAAGCAAGGAATTACTAGGTTAGGGACCTAGGTTAACTAATGAAAACGTGGGTGGTTTTTTATTGTATTCAATTTATTGGAATGTGATTTATTTAATGTACAAGTGTCGTGTTGCTTGGTGACTAGTAAGACTATAAACTTAAGTTGCTATGTAGTAGTGAACTAATCGGCCTATTAGAAAAACGCATCGTGGAATTACTGCACTACCCGCTTCCAAGGGTGATTAAGAAGAGTCTCTTAGTTAACGAAAATTAATCTGTCGTCTCTTGCAACTAGCCCGCACGCAATGCTAACGTAAAAGCTATTTCTACAGCCATGTCCCATGTCCGCGGACACTATTATACATCTTCCCGGGCTAAAAGTCGATTCTATTATATAACGTGGATTAGGTTAGGTACCTAGGTACCTAAATAGTAGCTTGCACCATGAGATGTTGTAGTCTTGGATTAAATTTCGGGCTGGGTCGAAGATTGGATGATGGGATTAGAAATCTCCTCGCTGCTTCCATGGAAAAATTCCTAATATTAGTTTGATATTCCCAAGTAGGAGAATCTTCCAAGAAGACCTAGGCTTAATCATCGTACCTGGCCGGTCTGCGCCTGGTTCGCGAGCGGTCGATCGGTAAGTCATCATCGCTGTCATCGGTACCGGCACCGGCGTGTCTGACTCCGTCGCTATCAGTCCAACTCCCTCCATTATATTCATCATCGCCGCTTGCGCCTTTCCGAGCGCGTCCTCTTCTAGATATCGGCTGTATGTCCGAGTCGGATAGGTCGAGCTCGGGGTATGCGATGCCCGAATCTGGCGTTGATAATGGGCTGGATTCTACCACATCTTTGGTCTGTCGTCGGCTTCGTGCTTGAGACGGCGTCCCCTTGCCGGCGGCTGAATCCGAGTCAAGCTCAAGCCTAGCTTCCGTATGCCTAAAACGACTACTCCCTTGAGCGCTGCCTGGGGCACTGCCCTGGACAGCATTCTGTGCGCCCCCTATGACGACCGTATCTCCTTGGCCTCCCTTGGCCTCGATATTGGCTTCTCTCTCTCGTATCTCTTTTTCTCGCATCTCCTTTTCTCGCATCTCCTTCTCTCGCAACTCTTGCTCTTTAATATGCTTCGGCTTCCTACCCCTGCGCTTAGGCGTAGTTATAGGCTTGCTCTCAGGTTTGCTCTCTACCACCAATGCTTTGTCAATTTCTTCAAGCGTAGCATCGTCAAGGAGTCTTCGTGGTTTCTTACGCTGCCGTTTCGGCGTTAACTCAAGCTCATTGTCTTCATCCACCCCTTCGTCAGTTTCTTCGCGCCTGGCAGCTGAAACTGGAAAACTCTTCCTAGCCTTTGGCGGGGCTCCCAGTCGCTTCCTTAAGCGCGATGGTTTACGAGTGGGTGATCCTTCACCGACGTCTACCATTACATCATCCTGAGAGTTAGTCCTAGGGCGGTATTCGCCCTCATCCGATTCTTCTTCGTTTATAATGGCACGCTTGCGTTTGCGTCCCTTGGCAATATTGATTTTAGGGAACGGCTCTTCCGTGGCCTCGTCGTCGTCTTCCGGTTCTGAATCGACTTTAGCGAAGGTTTTCTTTGGTTTGCGGCCCGGTTTACGGCCCGGTTTCCTGCCTGGCTTGCGACCGGGTTTCTTCCTTGGCTTTTCAGCATCGTCCTGGCCCTTCTTGCGGGCCTGCTCCTTAGCCTTACGTCGCTTTTTCTCGGCTTTCTCTTCTTGCAAAAGCTTCTTAGTCAGATTTGGGAAGTTCTCGCCGTAATGGAAAAACAACTCCTCTCCAGCCTTAATGTCTCGCAGAGATGTGAACTTGATGCGATATTCGCCATTGACGTAGAGGATTCGCGGGGTGACATTACAGTTGGTTTCCTGGTGGTTGATGTATCGACTGAGATTGCCGTAGATGGCGGCATCAACCCAGATGCCTTCCTGTTCTAGCAGGGTGAATAAATACGACGAATTGGATGACTCGTCGAATACGTCCCCACGACGTGCCTCGCGGCGAACTCCTTCGTCCTGGCTAATAAGCTCACCAACATACTCGATGACAAACTCATCTTGTGCAATATCCTCAGTCGCAAAGAGTCCATAGCCAGCAATCCTAGATCTTCCAAGCATGACTGACTTTGATCTGCCTCGCTGAAGTGCACAGTTTTGGCATCCCGCAGCATGTAGAGCATCATTATCCGCATTTGCTGGGTTGGCTCTCTCAGAAGCACCACAGCTTCCGCACAGAACGGGGTCACACTCGCGATTGAGCTGCACGCAGATGCAAGGCCGATCTTTTTGCTTAGGGATACACGTCTTCCCATGAGAGTGGCAGGCGCAACCGGTAAACTTGCTAGCGCAAATTGCTGCTGTGCATCGACAGAAGCGCTCGCACATAAGACGGTTTTGGACGCACCTACAGTTCTTCATTGTGCACGGTCCTTCATGGCTACAAGGATCAAAACAGTCCTTCCTCTGATGCTCGTGTGTATTGGTATGATCCTGCCAGTCCCCGATGAGCATTTTCTTTTTCCTATCATACCAAGGTAGCGGTTTCACTTGGACTTGTGGTGTGGGATCCGCGCTGGGAACAGATAAATCAAGCTTATCGAGCTGACGGCTGACATCCCAACAAGGTCGTCCAGTGGCCACAGAAGTAGCGCATTGTACCGGTATATTCGTGTTGCTCAACGTCGAGAAGAATGATCTGAGGAGCATTATTTCACTCTCACTCCATGCACGGGCTCGCGTTCCTGGGCGCCCATTCAAAAAGCAGTCGTCGCCGCAAGGTTTTCTTGCTTTGCGAGATGTAGGGCTATCCTCCATCTTTCCCTTGGATTTCTGCGTAAGCTGTTGGCGAATCATGGGCGACAAACCGCCAACTACCTCGATAGAGAATCGCTTCCGTTCGTTATCGACGCCGTATTCGCCATGTTCGCAGGAATGGCTGGTGCATATCAAGCAACCAAGCAGAGCGTAAGTTTCGAGAAAAGATTCAACTGTTGCGTGCTCTTCGGTGACTTTCGATTGGCTCGGGGTATCCTTCATCCATTTCTTAGAATCGACGATGGTATCAACCGACTTATCTAGTAAGAGGACGTCACGAAGGGGTACAGCGCGCTCGCGCAGAAGAGGCGAGTTGAAGACTCGATCAAATGCTTCTGTGAAAATTCTGACTGTTTTGGCCGATCGCGGAGACCCAGGCTCATCATTATACGAGTTTAAGATGCTCGACTTTTGCTGAGGAGTGACATTATCGCTCTGGCTAGCCATATAGCGGATAAGGGTGGTCTTAGTACAGTTCTCAAGGTTGAAGCCAAGCCTATCCAGCCAAGAGTCGAGATATAATAATAAGGTAGTCGCACGCTCCTTTTGAATGGTCTTTGTCACCTTTTGGTGCCGACTTAGCGTGGCAAACCCAGATGTCTTGTCCATGTTTTCTAAATTTTCTAGCCAGCGGCGGTAGACGCCTTCTTCATTGTCTGCCAAATCTCGTAGATGGGGGACGTAAGTAAGCATAGTATTTGGGGAAAGGATATTCTTCCTAATCTCAACATGATGAAAGCCGTAGGACGGGACCTTCTCAGCATCAGTTTTAATGCAAATAACCTGATGATGCTCTTTCTTCTCCTGTTTTCCAGATCTACCGTGGCCAAATTGCTGTGCACTTGTTAGCTTCTCGCTCCTACTCTAGATGAGACCCCGGACTTTAGGATCTCGAATAGCGTGGGCAGCGAGTCCTTGGGGGACAAACCTTATACTTAATTTTTATCGTATCCGATGACCTCCCAACGCCTTCTAACGGGGTACGTTTCATATCCGCGAACCAATCCTTCTTGCTCGTAAACTGCTGATTGGGCGCTTCTTTTTTCCAAGCTATATGAATCAAGCGAGCAGTGAGCTTAGCGCCGTCAGTACCAATCTCTTCTGAGAACCCTCGTAAAGCTTCCACAACGTCATCGATGGACCAGAAAGATTTTTTCGGGGTTTGAATTTTAGGTGTTCGATGGCTTCCAGGTGGGTGGCGCTGACTTGATGAAGGTGTGGTATCCATGCCGTTCCTAGAGCCGCCGCTTGATCTGACCGGTAATGAAGCGGCCTTGCCATCTTGGCTTCCATGCTTTGATGCAGACCCCTTAGCGGGCATAGGAGGAGTTGCAGCGCGAATCGATATAGAATGTTCCTCCATGGATGAAGGTTCCTGCTGTCCGGGTGACCTATCCGGAAGATGTGGACTAGTAGGATTGCGAGAATGTGCCCCTAACTGAGATTCAAATTGTGATAGTTGAGATAGTTCTGATAGCAAATGAGACTGTGACTGCGACTGCCCTTCTTGAGGGGTAACCTCTGAAGCATTATAATCATCGGAATCTGAAACCACGGCCGTTAGGTCAATAGGAACTCTATCCATCTCGCTAGAGCACCTGCTGCTAGGCCGCACACCCTCAACTCCGCCCCTATCTTCAATTCCCAACTCCAGATTAGAATGGTCCCAGAGTCCTCGTCCTCGTCCTTGAGTCTACCAAGGATGTGGTGGATATGACACTGCTCCACCCATTGTCTACTGTATATAATGGGTAGGTAAATATGATCCGAAGGGTGATAATTGTGGCTGTTCGGTCCTAGATGTAAACGCGTCTCAAGTAATTATAAGAATGTGTTAAAAAGGGGTTCGATTTAATGTTTATGATAGAAAACTTGCGCCTATTTCAGATAAATCACAGGTAAGTCAAACCAGTGAAAAAAGGAACCTACTATCGAACCTTTAAGAAGTTGAAGTGATGTTAGATTAATAGTTATAAGAGAAATGTGAATTTTATAAGTTGGTTGACGCGTTCGATAAGATGAGTCGACACGAACTAAAGGTAAGGTGCTATCCTTATCTAATCGCTTATATAAGAGTGTGGCTTCCTCTGTGGCTAGTACCCTTAAGCCTTTAGGAAGGTCCGGACCTCCTTCCATGCAGCCGTGCAATATGGGCCTACCTAGGTCCTACCTAGAAGGTACAATTGCTCTCATGAACGGCAATTTCCAATTGACCATTTACGTTTGGCCATCCAATTAAATTCTAGTTATTGATAAGTCTTGTCTCTACCTAGCACAGTGATTGGATTATACCAGATACTTAGGTACAATACTTAACTCAAGTCTCAGATGTCTTATGTTAATAATTCCAAGGTAATATGTAGTGTTCAATCATTGAAACCGAAATACAAGTTTTAAACCTATTACACATATTACCTGGTTATTCTTATTTTAACTGTGCTTATTATCATAAATGTTGCACTTCATAATGTCCATTCAATCAATTACTTGGAGTGATGTAGTCATATTATATAGGTACCAGGCCAGGATTCGATTATCCACTATTTAAACTTTTTTCTCCCGAGTCAATCGGCATCATACGTTCTGCTCTGCTCTGCTCTAGGGGAACTACATACGGGTTTCTTTCTTAGGTAAGAGCTAATTTGTACGCATGCGATCCGTAATGAATGATTAAGTGGAATCACCTTCGAAGACGGCGTGAGCTCAAGACTTGTGCACCCCAAAGAACAAGATCGGAGCTAGAGGTACGCTAGAGGTACGCTACCCGTCAGGTCAATCACCACGTTAGGATTAGCTCTGCACGCTAAGAGCTATGTAGAAAAACACAATTCGGTAGTGATGACGTAGAAGTAAGGGGACCAGCTCTCTTTTTTTGTTCCCACTTTTTCGATTGTCTAACCAGAGCTCTTTGGCTGTAACAGGCCCAAACCTGTAGAGCCCCAAGACATCCATGGCTGCATGGGGCCACTGGGAACAACATGCCCATCTTACCATCCATAATCCAGTCCATCCAGTCCATCTTCCATTCTTATTCTTAATAAATACAAAAAAAGGTGTGTGTACCTTACGTATATGATCGCCCAAGACCCAAATCCGTCCACTTCTTTTTAAAACGAAGATCTCAAAGACTAAAAAGTTACATCCACACTTTCACCATCTTCCTTACCTTTTGGAGTATCGCATTTCTGTCTTCTTGTCTTCCCGTTAATCAGCTCCCAGTCTTCCTAGAACGAATATAGCAAAGTATTATAGCAAAGTACCAACCATCGCATCACATTCTCCACCATAGTTGTCGACCCTTTACATCGTCTCGTCTTTAACATCATAGCTATATCCTTCCCGAGCCGACCTTCTAAGTATCACTGCAATCCGGCCACCACCTGTTGCCAGTCCAACCCCTCACAATGCATCGAACGTATTCTATGCGCCAGACTCGGGCGCCAACTGCCTCGCAGATTCAGGTAGGCCTCGTTGCCTAGTCAATGCACTTCAAGGCAGACGCATTGTTAACATTGTTGTCACAGAACCCCCCTCCCCCGCCGTCGTCTACTAAGTCCGGTAGACTATTCGGAAGAGGCGGATTTGGTAAGTTTTCTCAATACCTCTCTACCTTCCGACCATACCGTCCACGCCGTCCACGCCGTCCACGATGGGTTCTAGCATTTCCAAACAAGGCCAGTCCGCTAACAAAAAGCATCTAGGACATGCGCTCCGTCGAAATGCCGCCGGCGCTTTCGGGCCCGACCTAGCCAAGAAGTTGACCCAACTTGTCAAAATGGAAAAGAACGTGATGAGGAGCCTGGAGCTTGTCGCAAAGGAGCGCATGGAGGTTGCCGTATGTGTAACCTATCCCCAAAAGATTGCGCCCGCTAAAGAAGTTATATCTAGCAACAACTTTCACTCTGGGGTGAAGCTGGCGACGAAGATGTCTCTGACGTCACTGACAAGCTTGGTGTACTCATCTATGAAATTGGCGAACTTGAGGACCAATACGTCGATCGATATGACCAGTATCGCATAACCATGAAGAGCATTAGAAATATCGAGGCGTCTGTGCAGCCTAGCCGAGACCGTGAGTACCCCTTGCAAGAACCCACCACAGAGATCAGATCGACACCAGCTAACGCCATAACAGGAAAACAGAAGATTGCCGATCAAATTGCCCAGCTTAAATACAAAGAACCCAACTCACCCAAAATCGTTGTTCTTGAGCAGGAACTTGTTCGCGCCGAAGCTGAATCACTTGTGGCCGAGGCTCAGCTGTCTAACATTACTCGTGAGAAGCTAAAGGCGGCATACACCTACCAGTTCGACGCCCTACAAGAGCACTGTGAGAAAGTTGCAATCATTGCTGGCTATGGCAAGCATCTCCTCGAGCTCGTCGACGATACGCCCGTGACTCCCGGCGAGACCCGCGCTGCCTACGATGGCTATGAGGCCAGCAAGGCCATTATTCAGGACTGCGAAGACGCACTAACTAACTGGGTATCATCGAACGCAGCCGTGAACCCAAAGCTGTCCACACGCGCCCGCACACTCTCCATGCGCCGCCGAAACAACATCAAGGCTAGATCAGAAGGCTTGGATCTGTCCGCCCAAGATGCCCCGCTTAACGACCGCGAGTCCTGGGTTGCGGCTGGGGAGCACCGAGAGCACGGGAACCACGAGTATGAGGAGGAAGAGGAACATGAGGATGATCAGGCCCATTCCATACTGGATTCTGACGGCGGCTTGAACGGCGAGCAGCACCGAGGCCGCGCCCCTGAGATGGCCGCCTAGTAGGCTGCTTAATTACCCATCTCCGGCTCCAGTGGCTGACGGTAATTCACTAGTAATGTCTAATACGAGGAAAGGTTTATAGCAGCAGGTACAGGCGAGGTCGGACACGGTGGCAGTATACCACTCCTTAGGGCACACGACACGACATAACAGCACATTGATTATTGATTCCGGTCTCAGCGAGACCAACTTACTTACTTGCCCTTTTGAGCACTGCTTTGCCTGGATGAAACGATAGGATGAACAACGACCGGACGGGGCGGTGATGAACACACACACACACACACACACACACACACACACACACACACACACACACACACACACACACACACACACACACACACACACACACACACACACAC